TACCTGGTAATCCAATCGTACAAGAGGACAAAGCACCCGCTCACGACCATCACTTCACCCACTATACATACAGCCTTTTCGAGATTACGAAGCTTCTCTGGCCGGGTAATTCGCCCGACCTCAATCCCATTAAACCTTACTGGCCGTGGATGAAGAGATGGACCACCAGGAAAGGGGCACCTTCGTCACGGGCCGAAGCAGTACGTCGCTAGCAAGAGTGCTAGAAAGCATTACCGCAAGAGGAGATCCAGAAATGGATAGAAAGGGTACCTCACCACATCCAACAGATAATTGCCCTAGAGGGCGGCAATGAATACAAAGAGGGTCGTCGGGCTGGATTATACCGTCAAACGACCACTAATTGACCTCAATTGACGACTTTTTACCGCTGAATTGACGATAATTACAGTGGGTGGAAGTGGCCGAATTCTGCCGCTTGTACACACCCTAGCCAGCCCCTTGTCGACTCCCCTGTCTATGGCAGGGGTTGGTCTTGGCAGCAACTGCAAGGACTATTGAGACGCACCTCCGTACCTCTTCCTTCTACTTCTCCGACTAATACCTACTCCTCGCCCAATACGTGCTCTGTTTCTCAACTACAAACACACAGCAAAGATCAACCCCACTTCAATGATAAGGTACAGCCAGCGTTTGTCCTGAGCTACCAGCCCAACTAGCCCAAGGTACTCGATGAGTCGATGGAGGTGGAGAGAGCATGATGGAATAGACACGGGTGACGCTGGAATTAACGTCTGTTCCACGCATGAGGCACTCTGAAGCCTGTGCTCTACATTCCTTTGCAATATCGACGTCAACCTCGAGACCATCGCATGGCATCGCAAGGTGCAAAGTATCCACCAAGAGACACCGTGCATCAGTCCACACCAAGCGCATCGTCAATCGTACGCCGTCTCATCAATCAAGATGCGCCACCACTCAATGCCTACGAGACCCGCGTCCACCCTAGCACAGACTCAGAACCACATAGTCACGCATGGCCTACGTACGGATACTCATTAACGATCAGAGTCATCGCCAACAAGTCTCTGCAATCTACCCATACACTACTACCTACGGACCACCGCCCGCAAATATCAAGCTTGACATTCCGAGCTGCTCTGTCCACCCCGCCAACACTACTTGTGGCTCCAATTTCGCTTGCTCCCGGCCCGATCCAAATCTTCCACATTGCATCAGGGGATTAACGCGCAGAGATTCAGGCAGGAGGAATTCTTTTGCAGCAGATGAAACTCGATCGTCAGTCCGGGGGGAAAGCCATGCAAACGTCTGGCTCTGCGGCCTTCAGTGACAACTGCCGTCTCTTGAACGCTGCCAGCTGGCTACCCATTGCCAACCCGATCCAAAACATGAGGTACCTCAGGGACTTAGCCTCCACATGTGTCTGGACTCTGCCGCACGCCTTCAACGTCTGTTAGCCAACGGCCGCCGCCCATTGAAAAAGCATCCTGGACCATTTTTGTTGGACGTTTGAGCAATGATAGGACCCCCGCGACTGCAGGGAGTCTGAGCCAGCGTCGCGAACCCTTCCTGGGTCTTGTCACCTCAACCCGAACTCCAAGAAGAACAAGGACCAAAGACACCTTACACCGGTCTTCGACTCGTCAGTTTCCGTACTTGTGCCCCCCGCACATCTTGCCGGGGGAGTAGCCCACCCGCACACACCGCGGCCGGCTCGAACGGAACCAAGCCGGGACAGGAAGGCCGCTAGCCTCCACTTGAGGTGGCTCCCAGCCTCCCAAGTTGTAGTTTCTCGGCCAGGGCTTTTTTTTCTGGTTCCCATCTGTTCTACTTGAGCTATCACAAGGCCTGCAGATATTCCGTATGTAGTCGACCTCACACTCAAATATCGGAAACCAGATGCTAGATACCAGATACCGCTGATCGACGTGTCTTACCTACCTGTCCACCGCCTGTCCACCGCCTATCAGTCTGTCGGTACGGGTACTCCCACCTGAACACGGCCCACGATGGCTTAGCCTGAGATCGATCTTTCGGCTGGCAATAGTTCGGGGCAGGGGTTCCCCGATAGTCTTGACAGCAACCAACACAGAACTGTATCCGCACAGCGCTTTCTCTCGTCAGTTCACCGCAAAATCTCCCCACAGCTACCATCTGTCAAATCGTACAGACTTTGGTTGTGGCTGCCTATTTTCGCCACCAAGCAAGCTATCTCTTGACCACCTCAGCGTCCGCTCCTCGGGCTGTAAGTTGTTGTGAATGGAAAAATCTGTCCGAATTGCTGGTTGGGATGACCACATTGATCCAAGGCGTCCGTGGGCATAAAGGGCTGAAATGGACCGTCATTGACTGGAGCAATATGGCCATCGGGGTCCCATACTCTCTTGGCTTCCGCTTCTCGAGAGCGAGGCTCTCCCTGCCAGTGAATGGAGCAATGTGAAGTTTGGTTCGGATACGGAGCTACGAGCATAGCACACCGCCCCCCTCTCAACAGTGCATGGACGAGTATCCGCACTTGAGTACCACAGTACTTGGTCGATTACACAGCAAAAGGGTTGACAAGGTTTGGACCAGCTTCGACTTCTTTCCGCCGCCGAGTCTCGTTTCTCGTCATTGCGGTTGCGGACTGAAGGATCTACGTCTGAACATCCTGGCCGTGCTGAAGCAGTCGTTCTAGAACCTGGCAAAACTTAGTCGATTGCAACCCTCCTATGCTCCCTCAGGCATTCAGTACGCGGTCGTGGCGCTTGACGCCAATGCGGCACTTTGCGCCACTCTCTCTTCGTGTGAGTTCTGGGTGTGGCAGTGCATCCAACGACGGACGACCACACGACCCGCGTCCAATACAAGCACGGCGAGATATCTTTGCGACGCGAGGGCTGTAAGTAGGCTAGTCAGCTAGACCATGGCACCATGGCTTGTACGTGTGGGATGGCTGAAAACTGCCCACGTTGGTGTGCGATGCCTGTGTAGTATGAGATGTAAACCCCAGCAGCAGTGGCACATCCTATTCGCAATTCTCCATGTTTTCTCTGGGCAATCATAGCCTGGCTCTTGCAGTGCACGTTCGGCCCCGCCAGCGTGGCAACTAAGGGAACAGATAATTAGAGTTGTCGGATCCCTCGCGTCGATCATCGCCTACCTTGAACCCCATCTGCGCAGGATGTCATGTACAAGTGTGATTTTGACAAAGATATGCACGACGCACTGCCAAAGCCTCGCGGATCTCTTGACGGAAGAAGGGGAGTGAAGGAGAGTGAAGGGTTATAACCAATTACGACTGGGTTGCCTCCTCACCTTTACCGTGTGTTCTGATGGTCTGCCTCGCTCGAGCTGCTGCTGCTGCTGTCTATTTGACTTCCATGGCGGCAGGGGCGATGGATGGTGTAGTTCAACGTCTGGCTTAAGCAGTGCCTCTCGCAAGTAGACATCATATTGTTTCTGCAAGGCTTGAGGTGTAAAAGAACCAATAGGTATTTGGCTTTTGTCTTTGACAGAAGTGACTTGCTTATGCGCATATCTATCCTCTCCTTTATCCCCCCTCTTGACTTATGAACTCGGGAAGCACTTGGGCCGGGAATTCTATTTCATCCACGTCCGGTTAGCATTCGATCGAATTCGTGATACTTCAAAACTCGCAGTTGCTCGACTTCAGTCACGATGTCAACTGGTTGTCAGCTAGCCTGAGACGCCAACTGAACGTTGCTGGCCAGAACCCAAAGCCGTTGAATGATGTTGGCAGGATCGCTAAATCATATGGGTAGATGCCAGTACCCCCTCCCTAATTGCATGGCCACGGAATGCCGTAGATTTCTTTTCCAAGTAGCTTGATAATCCAAAAGCGGTGGCCGGGCTGTGCAAGTGACAAACATTTCTCATGATGTAAGGGTTGTGCTCTACAACGCTCTTATCACCAATGTTTCTCAAAAACCCTTGCACCAAGTGCACCGCGCTGCGGAACGAGTTTATAGCAACAAGCCTAGAAGAGTGACGAGCCCATTGATTGGAAAGCGTAAAGTAGAAAGATATAACGTACCTCAGGTACTCGAAGTAAGGTAGCAAGTAGCGATGAGATAGAATGCCGGTCAATTCACGATAAGCCGCCTTTTATAACCACCGGTATTATCATGATCTCAATCATATAAACCAGAAAGTAATGATAGTGATAGTAGCAGCAGTAGTAGCAGCAGCAGCAATAGGAATAGGAGAAATAGAGCTAAGGTATCGAGCGGCATCACCTCCAAGTTTCCTCTCTTATCTTATCGCATCTTTTGTTCATCAGTGTCGTCCACTACACCCCTGGCGAATATGGCACGTAGGTTGGGTACGGGCGCTTCGCTAGCGGCCCCCGCTTGGATGCAGCCGGGAGTGGGTGCCCGATCAACGCAGCCAAACATTGAGCAACAGCGCAGACGGCACTGCTAGTTGAGGATGGTTGCTCCGCAACGCTTAGCAAAATAAATGCCGTCAACCTCGATTGGCAGGGGCCCATCAACGTGAGCAGCCCCGAACAACATCTCACCGCACCCTCCATTGTCGTCGTCGTCACATCCACACCCGTCCACAGCTCCATCCACATTCAACTCCCCCGGGTAACAAACATTGAACCACCCCCACCCGGCTCTTAAGACCGCGCCCACCCATATTACCGCTGTCACCGACTCGACCTTTGCCCTGGATCACAGAGTCCCGGATGACCTTGACTTGACATTACCTCGTTTTGCTTTGCTTTGCGCAGTCGCCATCATCGCTTCCTGCAGAGCTCCTTCACGTCTGTCTGCTCTTAGCAATTGCCGCTTTATGCCAATTTTTCCTGGTGCAGCGCGGCGCTCAAGCAACGACTAACACTACCTGATTATCCACCCCATCATCAACATCAAAGTGCCTGGGAGACTGTGTCGCATTGCATTGACTTACATTTTCCCTCGCGCCCGCATTCCAAGGCTTCTTAGCCTCACCAACAACACCATTCACCCGACTCCGATCACATTCTAGTCACCTCGTCGCCCCGTTCGAGAACAATGGCGCCCGTGGAGCGCGAAGCTTCCAGGGACGCTGATCGTCCTCTGAGACACAGGCAATCAATGTCTTCTGATCAAGGCAGAGCTCTGGTTCCCATGTAAGTCACCAAAACACACAACACTTCTTCCACCGACACCCATTCCCTATACACAACGTTCATGATGCGCTTGCCATGTCTGCTATCTGGCGTAGACTGATGAAGACCAGGTGGGATAGCTCAGATCCCGATAGGGCACCACCGCCCTTGCCCATGAATCCGCAATCGCCAGTTACAACCTCTAGGAAAGGAACTTCCGTTGCCATTCAGTCTGCCCACGCTGCTCTAAACGAAAGAGCCCGCGAGAGCGCCATGCTTCCGGCACCCTTGACCAAAAGGAATACCGAAACCTCCCCCGAACGTTCTCTCATCAAAGGATCACACCACAAACGCATGCAGTCCTTGCAGCCAGGAAACGTCAGAGACCTTAGTCTGCTCTTGGAGAGCGGTCAGCAGTCCAACCCCCCATCGCCGACCAAGTCCCCCGAGCGGACACGCCCTTCCACACCAGCGGCCAACAGAAGGGACAGCTTCGCCGACACAAGAAGAGACAGCTTCGCCGATAGCAGGAGAGATAGCTTTGCAGATCTTAGGTCGACGGAGAGAGAGGCCACCACACCTTCATCAGTTCAGAGTCAGACGCCAGTCGCACGCCCGCCTATGAAGAGACAACAACAAAGCATCTTGGGCGAAAACACACCTCCACAATCTGCTACCATGCTTGCCATACAGAATATGCCGCTTCAAGGTCAGCAGCAAGAAAAGGAGAACGTCGCGAATGGCTCTACTGCACTCGTCAAGGCTCCTCAACAGGTCGAAGCCCTTTCGGGACAGATTCTGAGCCTCACCAGTATCGCGACAGCTCTCTCAAAAGACATGGCTCAGTTGAGCCGAAGAAGCCGTGACAATGCCACCGACTTGCTAAGTCTGAAGGAAGCGACAAAAGCTCGGGACGAGGATATCCGCAAGAGCTTGCGCGAACTGATCAACAACGCCCAGGATGCTGCTGCGAGCAGCAGACCGAGCTCTCGCGACCCTTTCGTCAACAGCTTATTCCTCGATACCAAGTCTCACCACACCTCCCCTCCACCAAGCAAAGCTGGACGCCCATTTTCTCTGCCTAGAATCCCTTCACCGAATAGCTTTGCGGCATCCATCGATCGAGATGCCCTGAGCACACCCTCGCTCTGCAACTCCAACGCCAACTCTAACTCAGAGTCTACGAATACCATCGCGATACTGGACAAGATTATCAGAGACATGGGTACGAAAGAGGGACACGACCTGCTTCTTGCTCGCCTGGCCGACGTTGCCGAGAAGCTCGCTGGAGTGGCGCCCGCTTCAAAGGTCGATGAGCTGATCCAGCTCGTCAAGACCAAGCCTGCGGATGCCATGATCTCGCGAAGTGGCGGCGGCCATGGGGAGAGCAACAGGAACATGCCTCGTTCGGCTGTGTTTGACGATGACAATAGCACCATGGACTTCGATTACGACCCCGGATATGCAAGTCAGCTGACCCATCGATCGGAGAGAGCCTTGCACAACGAGCCCGCCTCGAAATCCGCAGCATCTGGCAATGCTTCTGAGATCGTTAGTGACGAAGTGCTCAAGATCATTCGTACCGTCAAGGACAGTGTAGCACAAGGCGGCGGCCTCACCGCAGAAGTCAAGGCTCTCGTCCGGGAGCTTCGTGGTGAAGTCCTCGGTATGGGACGGGAGATTGGAAGAAGACTGGATGAGGCTCAGGCCCAACCAAAGTCTGAGGAGCCCTCGACCGATAACGACGAAGTCTCAAAGATCGTCCATGAGGGAATCGAGCAAATGAGGGAGCACATGGACGAGCTTCTTCGTGAGCATCGACGCCAGTCCGCCAGCTCTGTGGCATCAAGAGCACCAGCAATCGACTATCAAGAAATCTATAATGCGATGAGAGCAGCGCTCCGAGACTCTCAAGCATCGCAGGAGAAAGAGCCTGATCTGAATCGGGAGGATGTCATCGAGGCTGTCAGGGACGCCTGGGAAAACTACAAGCCTGAGGTTGAGAACCAAGATCCTGGCCTCGGACGGGAAGAGATCCTGGAGTACCTCAAAGAGGGATTGCAGGACTACGTCGACAGGGACCAGGAGCCCGTAGGAGCCTCGCGAGAGGAGGTGTTCCAAGCAGTCGTTGAGGGTCTCAAGCATTTCTCGCCGCCTCGCGTTGAGACACCGGCAAGCCTCTCGCGAGACGAGATTCTTGAAGCTGTTCGCGAGTGCCTAGAGGAGTTCGAGTTCCCCGTTGCCCCCTCGGCATTCACACAAGAGCTCACCCGAGAGGACATGCTTCATGCGGTCAAGGAAGGCCTCAGCGGCTACGATCTACCTAGCGCTGGAGCTCTCGTACCACACCAGAACAACAACGAAGAGGTCGTCACTCGATTGCAAGATATTCTTGAGTTCATGCGCGGAGAGTTCCGAGCAGTGACAGAGGATGCGAAAGTGAACGCCGCCGCCAACGGCCGTGACACTGAGCAGATTCTCGACGCTACTAAGGACGGTCTGGAGAAGCTTCGTGCTGACATGGAAGCGTATGTCAGTCATCTCAGTGGCAGCACCGCCGGACAAGAAGAAATCACCCAGACTCTTCTTGGCACATTAGATACCTTCAGGGATGAGATGGCTATGTTGGTCGACCGCGTTTCGAGCGATTCCAGATCGACAATTGAGTCACACATGGAGTCACTACGCGACACTGTCAACTCCTCCATGGTTCCGGTCACTCCGCAAGTCAACCAGAAGGAGATCATCGAAGCCGTGAGAGATGGAATCGACAGCGTGCGTGGCGAGTTGCGCCGACCATTTGCCGGTGTCACGGACATTCTAGACGCTCTTCACGATGGCTTGGCCGATCTGCGCATCAGTATCGACAAGGTGGCGAACCGGCCAGCAGATCTCACAGCCAACGATGAGGTTCTCGATGCATTGAAATCCGGGCTGGACAACGTTCGCTCAGAAATCGATGGCCTTCGAGAGTTGCAAGGCCAGAACGACAAGGCATTGACGACCATGCATGACGGTGCCGTTGTGCCAGTTCCGGCTGATGCCCTCAAGCAGGATGACATCAAGAACCTCGAGGTTCTCATCACACAGCTCCGAATCAAGATCGAGGCCATGGAACCTGCCAACGCCGATCCTGTCGCTAAAGATGATCTCACACGTATGGAGGACATGCTTCGTTCTCTTCAGGAATCTGCATCCAAGGACGACATGCTCCGTCTCGAGGACATGCTTCGACTCGTGCAAGAGTCGGTCTCAAAGGACGAGACTTCCCGCATCGAAGAAGTCTTGCTCAATGCACAGAGCTCCGTTACCAAGGAAGACATAACACGTCTGGAAGAGGCGATTCTGCCTATCCAGGAGTGGGTCAAGTCCAAGGAAAGCCCGGTCAGCACCGATGCTTCAACAAAGGAAGACGTCCAAGCGATTGAAACTATCCTTCGTAACACCAAGGGCCGGTTGGATGACCTCATTGACAACGAGCAAGCTGTGCGAAAAGAGCATCTGGACAGCTTGGAGAACACCATACTGGAGACCAGAGAAGCCATCAATCTCATTACGACACAGCTGGATACCCTGCCGAAGAAGGATGACGTGACATCCGTGGAGGCCTTGGTGACGCAAGTTGCTGCAGGCTTTGAAGAAATGAAGGAGAGTGCTGCCAAGCAACTGGAGGACCCCGAGCGAGTCACTAAGACTGACGTCGAGGCTGTAGAAGCTGCATGTCACGATATCAAGGACGTATTCGATCAACTGCTCAAAACGGAAATAGCAGCCCTCGTCACCAAGGAAGACTTGAAGAAGACAGAGTCAACCTTGGAAGAGCTGAAAGGCCCTCTCGAGGCCTTGGTGGTCCTGGAGGGACTCAAGGAAGGACTACAGGAAGGCATCAAAGCCCCATTGGACGAGCTGAAGACAGAGCTCAAGACGGAGCTCAAGACCCCGATCGAAGAGCTCAAGACTCCACTCGAAGAGCTCAAGACACGACTTGACTCTCTGACCGAGTCGCACGACAAGGGAAGTGAGGAGCGCCAAGCCGAGATTGTCGGCGTTAGCGAACGCGTCACTGAAGTCAAGACCTTCCTTGAGGAATTCCAGGGCTTGGTCAAGGGCAAACTCGAGGAGGGTGCCACTGGAGTTGAGAGTCTCTCAAAGCTGCTCGAGGGTGTATCAACAGCAGTGGAGAACAACGCTTCCGTGAACCAAGACCTGAAGGAGCTCTCCGACACGATGAAGCTCGAATTCGAAGAGTCCAAGGCCGCTGTAGTCGGTGCGAAGCTGGAGTCCGACGAAAAGTTCCAGCAGACCACTGAGGCCTTGAGCGCCAAGATTGAGGAGAAGGTCGCGGAGCTGATGACCAAGTACGACGAGTTCCACGTTGCCCTCGACGACCGTGCAAAGGCCGGGGAGGCTAGAGATGCCAGCACTGAAGAGGCAGTCCTGGGTACCAAGGCTGTTGCCGAAGAGCTCAAGTCTCTCGTGGACACACTTGGCGCTGCTGTTACCGATTCGATGGAGAAGATGGAGGAGGCATCCAAGACCGTGTTCACCAGAGTTGAGGATCTCATGACGAAGTCTGAGGAGAACCATACGGACGGGAAAGCCGATCACCAGCAAACTCGGGACCACTTGAAGCAAGCTGTCGACGCCGTCGAAATCATTCAGGGCCAGCTTATTGAGTCCCAGCCTCAGATCTTGGAATCCATCAAAGATGTCTTGCTCATCGTCGGTCAACATTACGATTACGCCAAGACGTCAACGAACGATATTCAAAAGACAATCGAGGATGCCAAGCCAGTTGAGCTTGCTCTGCCACCAATTCCTGACAAGTATGACGACACTGTGGTTCTGGAGAAACTTACCAAGTTGATCGAGCATACTGAGGTTCCGGTCGAGAAGTACGATGACGCAGGCGTTCATGAAAAGCTTGACAAGCTCGTCGAGCATGCTTCCGTTCCTCCTGAGAAGTATGACGATGCGCCAGTACATGAGAAGCTTGACAAGATAGTGGAGCATGTTTCCACTCCAGCAGAAAAGTACGACGACACGCCCGTTCACGAAAAGCTCGACAAGCTTGTAGAGCACTCTCAGGTGCCTGTCGAGAAGTACGATGATGCGCCGGTGCATGAGAAGCTCGACAAACTCGTGGAACACTCCCAGATACCAGTGGAGAAGTACGACGACGCGCCCGTTCACGAGAAACTCGACATGCTTGTGGAGCACTCTCAGGTGCCTGTTGAGAAGTACGATGATGCACCGGTGCATGAGAAGCTTGACAAGCTCTCTGAACAGCAGTTGCTGATCCCGACGGAGAAGTATGACGACGCAGTGGTCATGGAAAAGCTTGACAGGATCGCTGAGTACCAGTCTTTGCTCCCAACCGAGAAGTACGACGACGCTGCAGTTCAAGAGAAGCTCGACATGCTTGCCTGCGGGCAGTCGTTGATCCCTACGGAGAAGTACGATGATGCGCCAGTGCACGAGAAGTTGGACAAGCTTGCTGAGCAGCAGTCGTTGATCCCAACCGAAAAGTACGATGACACAGTGATTCGGGAACAGCTCGGAGTTCTTGCTGAACAGCAGCTGCTGATCCCGACTGACAAGTACGACGACGCAACTGTGCAAGACAAGCTTGACAAGATTGCCGAGCAACAGGCATTGATTCCCACCGACAAGTACGACGACGCAACTGTGCAGGACAAGCTTGACAAGATTGCCGAGCAACAGGCCTTGATTCCCATTGACAAGTACGACGATGCAGCTGTTCACGTGAAGCTGGACGAGCTTGTTGATCATACTCATGCTGCTGAGAAGGCCTTTGGTCAGCTCGACACTCTTGAAAAGGTTCACCAGCAAGTCATTCAAACGGCCACGGACATCTCGCTCTTCCTCGCTACCCAGACCAAGAAGATCAAAGAGGAGGAAGACGACAGAGAGCAGACTCTCCAAGAAGTGACCATTGATCTCGAGCGCAAGTTTACTCTCAAGGAGCAGATTGAGGCCAGCTTGCTCGATCTGAAGCAGGAGGAGGAGAGACTCAGGGCCTCAGTACTCGGACTTCGGACGGAGCAAGAAAGTCTCATTCGGCAGAAGACAAGGTTGACGGGTGATGTCTCGTCTCTCGAGACTGCACTGCACATTCGTCGAGATGAGCTTCACGACATGGAATCTCGTGCCGAGGGTCTTGAGCGCCGCATCCTGGAAGGCGTTATGGACCATTCACGCGTCCTCCTGATGTCAAAGGCGACCAAAGGACGAGACGCTATGAGCCGTAAGCGTGTCCGGGACCAAAAGCCGGGTCAGGAGAACGGGGTCTCTGAGAAGCCTGCATCGCCTGCTGTCAACTTGGCGCTTTCTGCCAAACGAAACTTGAAGCCTCCTTCGCAAGCGGGCGCTGCTCGCCGTATCTTGTCACTGAGCCAGATCACGAACAATGTGCCTACCGGTGGTGTCCAGCGCAGCCAGAGCGTCAGGACAGCCGGTGCCCGTGGTCATCGCAAGTCCAGCTGGGCTGGAGGCTTTTCGAAGGGCTATGGAGATCTCGACAAGGAGAACATGTCTCTGAAAGAGACGGAGGAGGAGAACATGCCCAGCCCCACGCCTGTTATGCACGAAGAACCGGCTGGCGGTGATGATCCCAGTGACACCGAGACGCTACGTCGTAGCAGTCATGGCAGTCGTATGAGCCGTGGTAGCCGCGGTACAACTGTCGTGACGGAGAGTACCGACAATTACACTGGCGACGGTGACTACTCGGACTATTACGACGACAACCAAAGCGATTTGCAGAGTGACCTCCAGAGCGAGTGGACCGAGAGTGTCGTGAGCTCAAACGTCAGTTCAGACCTTGGCTCCAACCTGAGTCAAGAAACCCTGAACAATGAGGCTGCGACAGTGGAGGAAGTGGCCTAGGATGACGAAATTGGTGTCTACTGAGAAGTTGTTTTCACATGGACATATTGACGAGTATTGAATAACGCATGAGCCTGCTGGGTCGGCGTCACCTGGGATGAACGGCAGTTTGTATCAAAATGGAGTTATTGGGTTTCCTTTCTCTTTTGTCTGAAATTGGTAGTGCTGGTACGAGTCCAGTCGATGTTTAGTATTGTAGTTAGTGTGTGTTGAAGGTATTAAAGTACAGAACTATCACCACCTTACGACTGTGTGCCACATGATGAATACGCTTTTGGTGAGCTTCAATGTCTTTTTCGAGACGCGCCAGACGCACATGGGTAATGCATGCATAAGTACAGGAGTGCGAATACAAGTGTTGTTACAAAGATGCAATCTCCTCAGTCAAAGTTTGCTATGAGACAGTCTTGCGAACAATCTTTTCCTTTCCATCCATCCACGGCTGCAGGCAAGCCGGAATGGAGACAGACATCTCCTGCTCGTTCCATCCGGCCTCCAACAGCGCAGCCAGCACTCTCGGGACGGCGAGGGCAGTGCCGTTGACGGTCCAGGGGAAGGTGAGCTTGCCGTCAATCTTGGCGCGCGTGGCGAGCCTCCGCGTCTGGTAGTCGGTGCAGATGCTGGCGGAGGTGACCTCGCCCCAGCCGTCGTTCTGGTCCTGCCGAGACGGGAAGAAGGCTTCGATGTCGCACTTGCGGACGGCGGAGGCGCCGAGGTCGGCGGTAGGCATCTCGAGGACGCGGCAGTGCAAGCCCAGGGACCCGAGGATCTCGGTCTGGATGTCGAGCATCTCCTCGAAGACGTCGACCGTCTCGTCGACGTCGGGCGCGGTCCAGGCGAACATTTCGACCTTGGTGAACTCGTGGACGCGGTAGAGCCCCTTTGTGCTCGCGCCGCGGGCGCCGGCTTCGGCGCGGTAGCACCGGGACACGGCGACGCGTTTCGCGGGCAGTTCCGTGGCGTCGAGAGTCGTCTCGGCCTTCATTCCCGCGAGGGGGATCTCCGACGTGCCCGCGAGGGAGAGCTCCGGTTTCCCGCGCTCGGCGTCGGCGGCGGACTGCGCGAGGCTGTAGATTTGCTGCTCGCCGTTTTGGTCGCGCGGCTGGAAGCCGCAGGCGGCGGCGACGTGGCTGTAGACGACGCTGGGCGGGGCGACCTGGCGCCAGCCGTGCCGCGTCGCGACGGCGAGGGCGAACTGTACCAGGGCCTGCTCCAGCTGCGCGGCCTCGTCGAGGAGGTAGTACCAGCCCCAACCCGAGACGGTGCCCGCGCCGGCGAAGTCGAGGAGGCCCAGCTCCGAGCCGATGTGGACGTGGGACCGCCATACCTTGTCCGAGGCGCTGGGCGGCGTGTCGGTCTCGTGGGGGTGCTCGTTGATGTAGCTCAGCAGCCGCGGCTCGTCGCCGACGGGGGTGACGCCGCTGGTGAGGTTGGGGATGGCGAGCGCGAGTGCCTCCATCTCCTCGACGAGCCTGGCCTCGTCCTGCTCCACGGCCGCGAGCTTCTGCTTGAGCACGCGGGCCTCGTCCAGCAGCTCGTCGCGGGACCTGCCTCGGAGTTCGTTAACTTCCGCATTGTCGTCGCCGCCGCTGGTGGACGCCGGGTTGGCGATCTGGCGGCGCAAGAGGTTCGACCTCTCGCGCACGGCGCGGCTGTCCTTTTGCAGGGCCTGCCATTGCGCAAAGATTTCGTTGATGCGGGCGGGGCTCTTGCTCTGTTGGACGTAGTTGCGCTCGAGGCAGTTTTTCTCGTGCAGTTCCGGGTTCTCCCTGATGTGTCTGATGTCGATGATGGGTTTTGGCGCGGTCGAGGGCCGCTTGACGTCTGCGAAAGCACGACGTTGTTGTAGGGGTGAGTGAGAGGCTAGGCAGTTCACTCTGCTGATGATGCGCGGCGTGTGTGGTGAGGTGGGCAGGAGGCGCCTCCTTGCCGTCCCTAATGAGCTGCGCAAGAGAAAAGTCGGATCTCTTCCCATTTTAAAGTCTGGTGACTGAGACGTTGAAATTCAATGTCTCCCTCTATGAGTGAGTATTCAGAGGAAGTGAGATGATCTGATATGAAGGCGGCGTGATAACTGAATGAACCGCTTACAAGCATAACAGCAGGGGTTCCACTGGTCCGTTCCCCCAATTAAATGCGTCTTCAGGTTCGCTCACTTCGATGAACAGACGCGCGGTGGACATAGTATGGTCACATATTTTGACTCTGTATTCTTTTCTTCACATTTCGAAGGCTAGTAGGCCTCCAGGGTATCAATCCATTTTCACATGCCGGTAGACATCTTTCCACCCGCCTCGCTATAAAGATCCCCATGCTCCCAAGGTCCAGTTCGATTGACCTCCAGCTCCTCGCATCAGTCCACCGGGACCCATGCTTTGCCGCTGCTGTGCCTTGACGTCGACTTCGTTTGGCCGTGAAGCTCCGTTGACTCCTTGTTGCAGCCACAGCTCTCGGTCAATGTTAGCCATCGCCATTACTTTGAGTTGGCACGCCAGGCTGGCCCCTCCCCACGGCCCGAGAGAACCTAGAGGTCGTAGGGTGCCTTGGATTTTGGGATGGTGGCTATCTCGCTTCTTTAGAGAGTCCTCAATGACATCCGCTGCGCTTCGAGGCTCATCTTCGCCTGTGGCTCTACGTTCTTCCGTCTCCCTTGCGGGCGACTCAATCTCTGTAGGACCTTCAGCTGCCCGTCGGCTGCCTCTCTTCAGCAATACGTTGTTCTCGTACTGCTTCGGTGCACGCCCCTGAACAGGATCCCATCCACGCTCGTGTACCAGTTTTGACAGCTCATCAAATATCCTCCGCTTCAAGCCAATGACCTTGGAGCAGCCGCCAATGAATACAATGCGCGACATGCAGACTGCGCGAGCATCGATGGGAAGTTGGACAAGATGTTGGTAGATGAGGTGATGGACAGGGAGCTCGTCGTCGTCGAAGCTACTACGTGAGTAGTGTGGTGCGAAGTAGGTGTTTTCACACGGCTCAGACAGTTGTTGGAATGACAAGGTCAGGTTCTCTGCTGGTTCCACAGACTGTATCAGAATCTCGACATTACCATCGGACCGCTCCTCTTCCTCAACGGGCGAGGCTGGTAGGGATTCGTCCTGCTCTTCGACCGTAGGTAATGCCTCCCCTCCAGACTTCTGTTGCTCCTGCTGCCTGATATTTGGAAGGTCACCGCGCTTAACTTGGCGACACCAGACGAGGCGGCAGGCGACTTCTTCGCACTCCTCAAAACTTAGAGAATGTCGGCCTTGCTCCCTTTCACTGCGGGTCTTTTGCGCGTGGGCTGATGAAGTAGACAGTGTATCTTGCAACAGGTTGTGTGTCTCGTTGACCAGCATCTTGCCTGCGCGGGTAGTCCTTGTCGTACGGATCTCGCGGTATTCGTAGACGCTTGTCACACTGGTCTCGGCCCAGCCAAGATCCACAACCAGTGCTGACCGAGTGCCAGCTCCCACAACCGACGTGACTGCAGATGACATTAAAGAGACAAGCGGTGCCTGGAAGCGGTGGAAAAGAACATCGAGGGTGGTTGATAGTAATGGCAGAGGTATCGACGAGGAGAGGACGAGAGAGGTTCTTCGCGGCCGTGAATCGATAAGAAGGAACCTGGACGACGAACGTTAGTGATGTGTGATGGACTCCACAGGCGGGGATGCGTCACTTATTCAATGCTTCCCGAATGGCTCGGTCTATCTTGTCCTCAACGAGGCCCAAGTCAACGGTCCGCACATCGTATTGCCAGAGCTCATGGTCGTCTCCCCAAGTCTTGCCCGTTGGACGTCGCCGCCAATCATCCTTGTGATCTGGATCCCAGGTGCGGAAGTCGCCTACGCGTCGCAGTTGCTCAGGGCCTAGAGATAGCACGGCCTTCGGCACTGGCTCTCCGGCAAACCCAAGCTTAATGAAGCGGGAACCCAACTCTATGACGATGATGTCTTCCTCGGCGCGTAGACTGGATGGGGAGCCAAATGTTGAGGAGATATTGCGAGAAGGGGTGTGTGGACTTGCAGGGCCACCGCTGATGCCAGAGCCTGTTTCGGTTCGGATGTTGGCAATGGATCGGTGGGCGAGACTGGGTGCTGCGGACGACATCTTGTAGGAAGCAGTAATGAGAGAGACGAGGTAGCGTTAGGAGCGTTGCGCTCGGGTTTAGCAGGCCATGCCTCGGGTGTTGAAGTTGTCAGAGGTTGCCCCTTGAATTGATTATTGGCGCCAGCAACGGAAATCACGTTGAATCATTTGCCAGTACTCTCAGTACTCTGTTGTGTCGTGGGGTGTTATTTGCGCGCGATTGAGGGGTTGAGTGCGGTTCGAAAAGAATTAGGAGAGCCCGTGATACTGGAGGTTTAAGGTACGGATAGAGCTCATCGATTGAACCTCTGAGTCTGAGGTCAGGTACCTATGGCCGAAAACGGGTCAAGCGCTGTGGAACTCCCCTGGCGTTTTATTTTGTATAAAGTGGAGAACAACTGGGCTGCTACAAGGTCGTGCAGATGTCATTGAAGTGGGTGGCACTGGCCGTAGTCCCGGTAACCACTTCACTTTGAGGTGATCCAACTACCAACCTTCAGTCAACACCTCACATCGAAAGAAATTGGAGAAGTCCTTGGATACGATTTGTGTATTAGTTATTGAAAATGATGATCTGCGCCTAGCACATCTTTGGGAGCCTCGTTCCATTCCCGTTTCTAACCGTTCTATTTCCAGCACAACACGGTAGTCCTCTTTGGCTACCCGAATCGTCGTCAAAATCAACGACCTCATGCCTTTCGCCCCCCATAACCCTCCACTCCTTGGACGGAATTATACCTCCACACCCAACCCGCAGATCTAATCTTTCATACCCTGCATTATTATCTTGAATTGAGTTTCTGATCTTCCGAGCGATTGGAGAATCGCAATGGGAATCAAAGGGTATTTACCGATACACCTGGTCTCTTCTTACCATCAAAGCGAGGTCTCACTCACATTACATCTACAGAATTTACCGTGAACTTGGCCCCGGCAAGAGAATTTCTCTTGCCAAATTGGCCACGGAGAAACTTGAAAACACAAACCGACCGTTGCGGATTGCCATTGATATTGCCATCTGGCAATTCCAGACACAAGCCGCACGAGGTAGCATCAACGTTGCGTCCAACATGGCCGCTTCAGAGCTAACAAACTTCACCAGGTGGAACAAATCCTGCAATAAGGACTCTATTTTATCGCTTGGTACGACTACTAAATCTTGGTATACACCCCATTTTCGTCTTTGATGGCCCTCATAAGCCGGCTTTCAAGCGCAATAAGCGCTCCGGTAAAGGCGATGGCGTTGCAATAGCCATGGCCAAGAGACTCATTCGCCTTTTCGGATTCCCAGTCCATGACGCACCGGGGGAGGCAGAAGCCGAGTGCGCTCTTTTGCAGCAACAGAACATTGTCGACGCAGTTTTGAGCGAGGATGTCGACACAATCATGTTTGGCTGTACTCGAACTCTTCGGAATTGGACAGCAGAGGGGACTCGCGGCTCCAAGACGCCCACCCACGTCAGCATGTACGAAGTCAACGATGCGTCGTCTGCCGAAACGGGCCTGGATCGAGAGGGCATGGTGTTAGTTGCACTGATGAGTGGAGGCGACTACATACCGGAGGGTGTACCAGGATGCGGTCCCAAAGTGGCATGCGAGGCGGCGAAAGCTGGGTTCGGCAAGTCGATATGCCGCTTAAAGATCGAAGACGATGCCCAATTTGACGAGTGGAGGATGTCGTTACGACACGAACTGCGTACCAACGAGAGTGGCTTCTTCAGAGTAAAGCATAAGGCTTTGTCCATACCGGACGAGTTTCCGGATCGTCAAGTGCTGAGGTACTATACACACCCGGTTGTCTCAAGTGTCACTACTATCAACAGGCTGAAGGCGGGCCTCAATTGGAGTGGCCCGATAGATGTGCAAGGCCTCCGGTACTTTGCCGAGGAGACGCTTGACTGGGTGAACAAGATCGGTGCCATCAAACTCACACGAGTCCTGTCACCTGGGTTACTCGTCCACAACTTACTGGAGAGGCACCTTTCCGACCAAGCAAGCTACCAGACGACAGCGGAGATGGAAAATGTAGAATCGAAACTGATCAATCGTATCACTGGGACACGAAGCCATCACAGCACCGATGGCATTCAAGAGTTGCGCGTAGCACACATTCCGACCGAAATAGTCGGCCTCGACCTTTCACAAGAGCTAGACGAAGCCGAAGAAGTGCCCTTTGATCGCCAGGGCCTCGGGCTCAATAGCGATGAGGAGTTCGAAGCTGCCATCGACGGCGAGGGAGTGCCGGCGAGCAGTCAGGTCGCGCCAAAAAGCACATTCGACCCGTATGCTGCCCAGCTGATCTGGCTGCCCGAGTCGCTCGTCAAGCTCGGCGCGCCTCTGACTGTTGAAGACTGGGAAGAGAAGCAGCGCTCCAAGGCGACTTCCAAGGCGTCTACAAAGCCCAAGAGCACCAGCAGTAAGGGCGTCGGTAAAAGGAAGCCTACCAAAGCCGTCCCAGCCGAAGCCGGTGCTCTCGACAGGTGGATGCAAATCACAAAGGGCACCACAAAACAATCGGCAAAGACTGGCGGCGCAACATCGCAACACCGGGTAGACGACGAAGACGTCCTGCCGCCACACCTTCCCCGACCATCTATGATTAGGCCTGATCCATCAAAGATCACGGCAACGTCGTTTCCAGCATCCTCCTCCTTTCCGTCGCAACGACCGACCCCCTTGCCGAGACCAACCAACCGAAGTAAGCAATCCAGGCCCAACGGGAAAGTGTCTGCCACGGCGGAACCGACCGCGCACAGTGGTAACCCCTGGGCATACGCTGGCTCACAACATATGCCTAGGATCACCAAGCCTCGGCAGCCCACAGAGCCGATTCTTCTGTCATCTAGCCCCGTGCGCGCTTCGCCTGCGCCTGCTTGTTCGTCGTTGAAACCACCACTGAGCCTGCTGAGCCCGCTGAGGCGCCCATCGAGTCCACCACCGAGTCCACCGCTATCACCTCAGCAGCGCATCTTCATCGACCTGTCAGATGAAGATGAATATTCCTTCGTCAAGCCCGAGCCCATCCGGGCAATGAGAAGGCCCAACCCGCCTACCACGTCTACAGCAGCACCTCGTCATCGTCCCTCCCAAAGTCCCGGAAAACATCGGCCGTCGACAAGAGGTTCGTCACCAGTACTACCCACCACGCCGTCAAAGAGCCAGCGGGTTTTACAGCAAACCCGTATGGATTCATTTGTGACTGCTGGCACGACCGCGCGGTCAATGGAACAGGATATCATCCACGACAAACAGCCGAGGAGGATCCAGAACGACGTCCGCCCCGAAATGTCCATCGCCGTCAGCAAGACTGCCAATCTCAAGCCCGTTGGGTCCAACGATTCTCCTGCTGCTGGCTTCCATGGATTCCGAACCACCAAAGTCACGGCTTCCTCCTGGCTAGAATCAGACGATGCGTTTGCCCCAAAACCCACAGCAAAAGCTGCCTCGGGAAAGGCCAGGAGAAAGGTCATGGTTCCGCGGACGAGCGTCAACGGATTTTTCCGGGTGGTCGAAGTGAGCGACGAAGAGTGGCTAGCCGGAACGAAGGCGACGACGGCATCGGAGCGCTTGACAAAGGGCGGTGATGGATGGAGACAGAGCGAAGTTTCCATCATAGATCTCACAGGAGACGATGAATAACGATACCCCCGACCCTGTACCACCTTGTACCACTACTACCAAGCAAATTCAAGTGTCATTTGAATAACGACAATGGATTATGTCTGAAATCTAATGCTATATGCCTCCCTGAATCCAGGCCTTCTTTGCAGTGTCGACGCACGACGCGAGTTTCGTCATTGGGTATCCCAGGCTATATTCGTAAAATATTGCAACTAAAAAAAAGATTCCAAACATAAAAAACGAGAAACCTAAAAAATCGGCCAGTAATTTCGTATATCATTAGTCGGAAGTATAACCGGTATGCTTCTTCGTCTCGTTCTGCATCCGTAATCTGGCCGAGCATCAGAGTCATCTATTCCGTATCAATGCTCACCATGCCAAGGAAGGTCGCGATCCCCGACAGCGATGCACGTGAGGTAGCCAATTCCATCGGCGGCCCTTCCACTATTAATGTCCAGCTCTAGGCCACTGCCCATGAGCGGCCGAACAATGTTGCGAGCCATCAGCTTGAGCTCGTCGATGCGCTTCTCAAATCGTCGGAGATTGTCCCGGCTGTACATCTCAGGTGTCAATTTCAAGAACCGCTTGCACTCATCGTGGCCGAGATAAACGGACGAAGAGTCGCCGAGGGTGCGATATGTACGGCCAACCGTAGCCAATGGCGGAACAGCTGTCGGGAGGGCCAGCTGCTGTGGGTTTCCATTCCGACCGTCGCGGGAGCTTTGGATTCGCCGGTCTGGAGGCGGAGGACTGGTGTTGTCTGCCAGCCACTGGCGGAACAGGCTAACGGCTAGCCAGTCGAGATAGTTATTTTGAGGTGTGACACGCTCGCCCCTCGCTGTCATCAAGCTCAGTCGAAAGAGACGGCCTTCGACACGGCTGACCACCTCTTCTAGCTCGTCAACTTTGTCTTCGATTATGTCCAGAACAATATCAGGAAGCGCAGCACGGAGGCTGCGTTCTCCCGCCGGCCATTGCCCGACCACATGAATCAAGGCCTCCTGAAAAATGACCCTGCTGCGGGCAAGGTAGCCAAGGCGTAGATAAGAGATGGGATACTTGGCAATCTGCTTCCATAGTCGCGACTGAAATTGAAGCAGATGGTGGTCAACCCTGGGGCCAACCACGGCCAATGCATCATATAGGTCCGCCAAGGTGATGAGAGATTTGCACTGAACATAGGCATCCGCAATGTTGACGCCGTCGAGAATCGGCGAGTGGTTATAGAAGATGCGGAAAAGGTTGTCGTAGTCGCGGAGGAGGTCCTGGTCGACCTGCGAAAGCGGCTGACTTGCCGCCGACGACGTCGTCGAGCTCTGCACGAGGCTCAAATTGGCAACGGAGCGGAAGAAGTTATGGTTCGAGTGCGCCGACGAGGAGTGGGAATGGCCCGACGTCTTGCTCCGCGAGTATGACGAGGGCTGATCGCCGTTGACCGCGCTGCCAGAACCAAACAGAGACCCAGAGTTGCCCGCGCTTAGACCCTTTGAGCGATCATCGTCCTTTTGTACCAGCATTGGTATATCGCCATCGCCCGTGCCTGGATCCAACTCGTAGCGCCAACGTTTTCTTGGCGGTGTAGATGAAGTCGTCAAAGCCCGGCTGGAATGGTTGTACGAGTCGACTGAAGAGCCGTCGCTAATACGAGGCAAGTCATTGGAAGCACCATCCGAAACTGCTTTGGACCACTCGAGACTCGTGCTGGCCTCGAAGAAGCCGGAGCACTGTGTGAGGGTGTGACGATGCAGCAGATAACGGTTTTGGTGGCCACCAGCCTTGACTATGATCTCGACATCGCCCGAATTGTTGAAGACTGGAAATTCATTCTGGGAGATATAGGATGAACCGCCGACGTGGGACCTGTTGTATCGCTTCGTGCGAGATAGTGAAGGACGCGAAACGACCGAGGAGGGGCCTCGCAGGGTGAGGGAGGACGCGGAATCGGGCTGCGAGACCATGAAGAAGGCGTGTCGACTCTATCGAGACCAAAGCTGCGAGGGTCGGAGGAGGGACTGACGGCCTACGGCGGCTCGGACATGGAGGAACGCGCGCACTGGGGTCCCTTTAGGTGGACAAGCAGTAAGCGAAGATGCGACACAACGAGCGCGCAAGAAGCGCGCACAAGTGGCGGAGAGGCGTCGGCCAAAGGATGACCACTTTTGTGTGACGGTGAAGCTTGTTGACGTGCTTAAAGGTTCTGGGTGGTGATTTTGCGATAGCGGGTGCACAAGAGCAACACCAACGGAGGCGTGCGAGAGTGTGACAGAATCGAGCCGAGGTGTTGAGAACAAGAGAGCCCCAAGCTAAGAGCTACGAGACTGCTTGCAGCAAGAAAATGTGAAGAGGCGGGGAGCGGATGGGCGGCTGGGTTTGTTCGTGTCGCGATGCGCGGGGGAGGAGTGTGCGAGCGTGCGTGCGCCGGTGACAAGATGAGATAGTTGCGATGGCGGGAGCTAGAAAAGCAGTGTGTGGTAATGGAGCAAGGTGGAGGCGATGCCAAGGATATCTACTGCGGCGGAGAGAAGAGATTAGAAGAGAGACGTGAGTCTAGTCGAGCTGTACGGATAGATGTGTTGATTTGTTGCTGGTCGAATGGGGTGGTCTTGGGGTGGCCGGTGAGGTAATCAGCACGAGGACGACCGAGATGGAGAAATCAAGAAGCAAGACGAGCAGGCAAGAAGAGTCTGAGACCCTGGTGAGCGGTGACTCGGAGGGAGGGGTCTTGAAAGCGACGACGCTACCTGGTACGAATAAGGTAGCGAGCACCCCGTGATGCGACAAGACTGAAGACCGTACCGAAGACTTCAAAAGATGGCAGCAGAGCTTAGATTAAGGTGCCTGGCCGAGTGCCGGTCCAGAGCAGGAAGAGAAAACAGCTGCATCCGTAGACGTGTGTCGGACGCGTAGAGCCAAAGAGTGAAGGGTGAACCAGGTTATTGCGACGGCGCCGGCGACGAGAAGTGGGACAAGGACAGGGTGAGCAAGCTCTGCGTTGTGCAATTGCCAATAAGATGGCGAAGACAGGCGTAATGGAACCTGAAAGTGGGAGAGGAACCTGGAAGCGCTCAGAGAATCATTTCACAGAGGCAAAGAGGTTTTGAGACACACATTAATTTTCAATCCACCACCCAGCGAAACGTGCGACAAGAACAAGGAACGACTACAGAATAAGGTACTGTAAGGCAAGTAAAGTCGGGATGATGGGTGACAGTTGACAGTGCAAAGGTTGAGCCAATGTACCAAGGAGCAGGGAAGCGACGATCCGCCTTGATACTTGTAAAGGAACCTAAGAACAAGAAGAAGAAATCTTTCCCAGGCTTTCCCAGGCTTTCCCAGGCTTTCCCAGTCATCCTAGCAGTCGCGCAGTGTGCCTGTCTTCATAGGACGACAATGGATTAAAAGTTGCCTCCCACCTCCCTCCGAGCCTACGCTTGCCGGTACTGGATGCAGACCACTCGCCTCCTCTCACCGTCACCCAACCATAGGTTGCTTGAGGATACCCTCATGAGGCGAGCAGATGCAGGGGGCATCATCGTGCATGTTGGCAAGGCAGACTTCGCAGACTCGCACACTGGCTAGCACTGGGCCTCCCGTGCTTTCCCACATGCACCTCACCTTGGCTACCCCGGTGGCTGCCAGGTCACGACATTCTCTATCTCGCAGGTTCGCAACTGCCTATAAGGTAATGGAGCCAACCGCGAAGACATCGGCCAAGTTCAGGTGCAATAAACCGAGCTACGCCAAAACGTGACTACCTTGGTAGATGTGGGGAAAGAGGTCTGATCCTGAATCAATCGGAGCATCCTCGTCACGTGAGACAGAACGGGAATCATCCTGGATTCCATTCCTGAGCTGTTCTTCCTTCCAGTCCCGGTCCTGCCAGCCAGCCTCCGGATTTTGACGGCTCTTCTGGAGCCCGTGGTTCAGAGCTCGTGATTGGCCACGACCTTGGCAATAGCCGGGTACCCCGAACCACACTCAAGCTTGCATGTCGATCAAAGTATTCCGTCATCTCCTGCTCCTATCCACTCGTGTCAACCCTTTCATTGGCCATGTCCACTTGCTCACAGACCCATAGGTCCACAGCCAGCTCGCCCCATTCTTCTCTTCTTGACGTCCAATGAAAACTCAAGGTCTGTGGCCAATGGAACGACCTCAATGTGCGTTGCACCGTTGCCCGCTCGTCGCAAACCTCCGTGCGGCCCTCACAATGTCACGCAATGGAACTTCGGAGGCAGAAGAGGTTGACGGGCGCGCGAGCGACAAGGAACCCAGCTGCTGGAGGTTCCCCGGGCCATCCAATGGTTCCCACCAACCAAATCGATCCAACCAGTGAGCGACCATCACTCTCACTCCTTGGGTCTCTCTGAGGTGGGTGCATCACTGATCACTCTGCCGACCCCATTTCTGTTCTGGCGCCCTGCAAGCTGCTGGAAGTTGCCGTTCTTCCAACCCACCCGTGACCCTCGTTGGACTCGTGAGTCGTGACCCTTTCCCAGTCACTGCCAGTGTGCCAGTGTGCCCAGGGGTCTCACCTCACCGTTCACGGTCTCACTCACTCTCTCTCTCACCTGGGGGCGGAGGTCGATGCTCCCCTCTCGTTCACACAATGTGTCGAGCTGAGTCTCGTGCTCCAGCCGACAGCCAGCATCGCTTGGTTTGCATTGCCCATTGGCACTCGCACTGGACTCCACTGGCGCTGACTGTCCAACCTGGCACACAAGACCGACGGATTTGGCACTTACACCCACATACCTGTCCGTCGTATCATCGCACACTAAGGTACCTTAGGTTAGCAGGCCCGTCCACTTTGTCTCGTCTTATCCAAGGACATTCGCTTCAAGACTCTTGACTCGGGTTTGCATCGGCCATCGAGCGCTATCAAGGTTTTCTTGTCTTGCCGGCCGTCTTGGACGCCTCGGCAACGCTGCAAATCGCGTTCCGAGAAAAATTATACTCTTGGGCCAAGACCAATGAACAGCATTTACTCTGGGTGAAGACGACGAACTCAACGCATTGGGTTGCGAGCAAATGGCACTTTGTTTAAATTTAGTTAAATGGCCTCTGAAAATTGAGGTTTGCTAGCACCGCATATTGGCCTCTCCTATGCGGTAGTTGAACGGAAAAAAAAAAGGCAGAAAACAAATCAGACTACCTTCGTCTGTTGCGACCGGGTTCCATAGATGATGTACCCAGACTAAGACTTCCTTTTCTCCGCTGGCCGGCCTTCGTTTGCTTGCCATGATGATGTGATGTGCCCTTAATCAGGTACTCAACCCATCCAACCCGACCCACCCAAGTGAACCTCTTGAGAAAGACCATTGCGCCCCCCAGACCTTGCCGTTTTGTGATGTGATTCCCAGAAAAATGAAATAAAACTGAACGCGCCGCTGTGTATCTCATTGCCGCTTTACATGACCATGTTGCTGTCGGCCTCCATCATGTTGGCTGGTTCGACTGCTGCGGGAGACTCAGTCGCAAGCAACGTCTCTTGACCGTCAAAAGTGGGAGGCGAGCACTGGAGGTTCCGCATTGCGCCCTCTGCGTCTCTGCTAACAAGGCGGCCTTGACGGAGGTCCTCTGCGAAGAGGAAGAAACCCTCCGCGGCCTCAACGAGGTATGATTGTAGCCCCTTGCTTTCCAGCCGAATAGTGGCAGAGGAAACAGGGTAGTGGTTCTCAATAAATCGGGCCCAGCCGCGTGCTGCGGCTTGAATGTGTTCGTCTTCACTGATACGTCTCCAGCCAATGCCTAGGTGCAGGGTGAATTGATCGACGATTGGTTGCGCAGAGCTCTCTGATGAAAGAGTTGTGGATGTAGACGCCATAGCTGGCTGGGCGGCGAGGAGGCTTGGCATGGCGGCCTGGGTAAGGCGTTGGGATTTGTTGCTGCGTAGAGATGGGCGTTCTTGCTGTTCGTGAAGACGTGTGATGGCCTCTTGTGTTTTGCGAACATCGTCTTGCGCAGCCTTTTCTTCGACCCAGGTGCCAGATTGACTGCCGGCATCCGCGACGTAGCTACCTTTCTTAATGAGAACCATTCCAGGGCCGTACTCCCACTCTTCCTCGGGTTCTTTGGGTGCGGTATGGGGTTCAGGCTCGTCGGTGACCAGGTTGGGGGCGGCCTCATCGCGCGAACGTTTGCGACCAGCGACTCGGAGGCTTCCGAGAGGCATTGCGGGCGGCGCAGGGCAGCGTTTGAAGGCGGTCGGCTGGCCAAAGGGCGCGGCCTGGGAGGGGAATGATTCCATGCCGAAGCTCGCTTGATGGGCGGGTTGGGGAGGGAGAGCCATGACGGGCGAGGCAGCGGAGAAGGAGTGACCGAAGGGAGACATGGCTGTATTGTTAGACCTGTGTAAGGTAAGTTCAGACTTCAGATTCAAGTAACTCTTTTACGAATCACAATGTGTTAGTAGTTGAGCAAGACGTTGCTGCAAAGTCTAGTGGCTGGATGATTGTGTTGTGTGGGAGTATCTGAGGATGGTAATTTGGCGAGGCGGTCGTGAAGGTTAACAAGATGGCGACGGCTGGATGATGGATGGCGGATGGTAATTGGTAGGTTGAGATGGCTAGGCCCGAGTGATGATGGGTTGGAGCAGGTTGGTTGAAAGAAGGAAGAAGCTGTTCAGGACCAAATGGGAGGCTGAGCAGTTAATGGGAGTGTGGGAAGGCGTCTGACGAGATGGCAGAAAGCAGACATGTAAGAGTTCAGGTTTGGTAGTTGTAGCAGGAAGGAAGCTGAGGTTGAGGTTGTCCCAGAGACAAAGACTAGACGAGATGCGGCAGGAGAGTGGATGAACTTTGGTAAGGAAGAGGGAGGGAAGGCGCCGTCAGTAGGAGGTGGGCGAGAGCAGAAGGAGCTATCCTTTTGTATCCTACAAGGTCAATTGGAGAGACGGAAGGAAAACGCGAGCAACGGGTAAGAGGCAGGAAAGGGCCGACGAAAAGGTTTGGACCTGGAGGGTTGGATGCGTGGTAGACAAGGGAACGCCGCCTTCCATTTGCGAGCCGTCCTACCCCCGGTACCCCGGTCTCACCTCAGGCAGTGTAGCTGCGGAGAGACGCTCAGCTTACGCAGTAGGTCAATCTGTACGTACCCATCGAGCCAAGTGAGGAAAGCATAGCTCCAGGATGGTAAGTGAGTTTGGGCGTATCACAGATCATCTTGAGCACGGGCGCACCATCTTGGCTTGTCTGAGAAGAGACTTCCACAGTGCATACAGGACACAAGTAATTGCTGGTACTCTTGTCTCCACCCGTCAGCTCAAGTCTCCCCATAGAGTTAGCATCAGTCAGTCCCCGTTGTATCAGCAAACGAGGCACGCGAGGCAAACTTGTACCTTGTTCCCAACGCGTCCATGCCGAATCAGGGCTGGCTGGGACGCATGCTTGCCCGTAGTTGCTACAGCTGCAGCCCATCGTCGCATTGCGCGCCTCGCTACGATAGATCCAGGGACTTTATGACTACCCACGCTAGGTACATGATGTGCCCCCGTTTCATGAATATTCGCTCTTCGGTGGCCTCGATAGTCGAAAAATGGGGACGGCCTCCTCGACTACCATTAGGTCCCTGGGTGAGCCCAAAGTGTCTACTGGCGATATTGCCATCCGAGTTCACGTCTAAAGTAGTCATGCAAGCATGGTAATAGTATGTAGTTGTGTGCCAAAGTAGATGGAGTCTGGTGTGCGCACTTCGTAGTCAATCCGCTGAGGCTCATTAAAGCTAACATGATCGTACTTTGATTTCCTGAACGACGTCTTCATCCCGTCACAGCCCTCTGTGCCTTGCCGCAGATTATTCCTGCCTGTGGAATTGTCGCATGATCTCCTTTCCTGCAACGGTAGGTCGCGGTTGGTATGTCACTCGGTAGTGACTTGGCCACTTCCCGTAGTCTCCGGGCTGTGCCTTCCTCCCGACTTGCTGTTGCGAGACTAGTAATTGTCAATGGCGGATGCCATCCATCGCGTTGAACTGAAACATTGATTGTGTCCTTTCAAGCGGCATCCGGGGAGTCTGATGGGTCATGATACGAACCGATCTGATCAATAATGTTGCGTCTAAGTCCTACCGTCATTCGCGTCACCCTCTCAGAGGTCAAGCAATACGAACGCCAGCGCAAGGCCCATGACCGCGGCGGTCGAGGCAAAAACAAAGTTACGAGTCAGCAATCTTCTATGAGTAGCCTACGTCGCGTTTCGCTGCCACTCCGCTTCTTGCCAGGCGACATTCTGCCCGACCAGGAGGGCACCGAGACACAACGCAGTCCAACCGACCTCGAACATGCCAATGATGACGATAATGTTATTATTGAGGATAGTGAAAAGATGGACACATCCTTCAGTAACGACGAAGATGGAGATGATGGGAACGAGACGATGGAAGACACCTACGAGGACCTGATACCGGGCCTAAACACTCCGAGGTTGCCTCTCCCTCTACCTTTCTCCGCGACAGCAAGAGTAACAACATCAACGAACCACCCTGGAACTGTATGTCGTTGCTCAGAAATCTGGGATCATCTAGCGTTTAGACTGACCTTTGCCGCCCAACAGATCGTTCAGCTGTCGAGGGGCTTACGACAAAGCGAACCAAGACGGACTGCACGTTTGCCACCGGAAATACTATTGCCACGACCAACAGCTGTCTTCTCTGGACAAAGAAATCCTTTGGTGATGCAGACTTCGCGACAAGCACCGGCCCACAACGACGATATGATGAACACATGGCAGCCACAGACACCTAGCAATCTGACCGAAGTTGAGCACCACGGACGGCTGCAGCCGCCGTCTCCGCCGAGTATACCAGATCCTCCCACGAGGTCACCTCGACATGGTGAGAGAGCAAACATTCCCGTTGAAGGGACCAGTCTCCAAGACATCAGGCGGATCGGCGGCACTGTAGATTTGGAAGGGACAAGCCTAGACGGAATGAACATACGGCGTCTTACGGACCATCGCCAGGATGGACCAGACGAGATACAGAAATTGGAAGAGTAGAAAAGGGAGGGGCGATGAGAGCACGGGGCTCCTTACGTAGTCGCTCAAGACTGTCTGTCAGATATCAATATTTACACTGGTAGGTTATCGTATCGGTAGGGGGACCTTACTGGAGCAGTCAGTTGGACGAAGAAAGGTCGACCAGCGTTATAGATAAAAGAGTGTAATCCGACGAGCAGTACAACAAGGCGTTTACAGTATAAGTACATTAGCTGAAGCCGCTGCTCAAAAATGATAGACATAAGATATCTCGAGACTCGACAGATCGTCCAAGCCAGTGAGTTGATAGACTTTGTTTGACTTTGGACTTGTAGAACCTCTACCAATCCAAAAGATACCAAGATCACCTCCCAGGCCCAAGAAAACCTAGGCCGGTATTTTCCAGCTGGCCCAAGTGAGCGGCGATTCTTCAGCAAGAAACTACTCGACACGATCCAAATCTGGGGGCAGACTTGATGGACGATGAGGTAAAGGGGATACCCATGGTTGAATGAGCCCAGGTGCCACCTCTCTCTGCAGTCACTGTTCCCTACCAAATAGTTCATAGTCAAGGAGGACGGGCGTCACGGCAACAGCCAGATTGGCGTAGAAAACTGCTCGGATCATTATTGTTATTGTTGTTGTTATTATTATTGTTGTTGGGACAAGGAGGTTAAGTTTCTCACGCAGCGCAAAGAAAGGATTCATTCAAAGTGCTCAGGAATAACATGTCCCATGCCATACTGTGAGAGCAGACATGACCTACCTATGAGAAGTTCACATTTACTGCCCGCACAAAATGTCAGACAGGGGTTTGGTTTAACAGCCTTTGCCTCTAGAACCAGATGGGAATCAAGCTTCATCACAGAGTTGGAACAGCAGAGTTGGTGGTTCATGATGTTATTACACATCTAACAAATACAGTCATCATCCTCGTCTCAGTCGTCCTAAATATGCCAACATGCTTCCAGTAGCGTTTCGTTGACATCTTCTGGGGCCCTGCGCAACCAATGCTTTTTGCTTCCCTATTTCGCCTTAGATGAAAAAAGCAATAAAAAAAATAAAAAAAATCCAAACGGTTAAAAATCGACCGCTGCCCGCCAAAGCTCCTCGCAATGCATCATGAGATTTTCCAGGCCGAGCCACATAAATGCCACAAAAACTCCACTTCGAAATGTCCTGAACCTATGTCTATCATTTCTCTTTTGCTTCCCTAGTAATGCATGTATGATAATGTTGTTCCGCCAGGTGGTTTGTAATGTGATGCCAGAATACAAAGTTGAAGTGAGAATGCTGGGCAAACGCCGAGAAGGGTAGAGATGAAATTGGTATCATGGCTTTGCTCCAAGCAAAAAAACAAACGAAAAAAAAAACACGAAAATGAGGAAAAGGAGGTAAGATGCTAGCTCGAGGTGCTGCTAGCTCGGCGCACTTCGATATTTATGTCCTTAGGTGAACCTCCCATGCTGAAGACTCGGTGCAAGAGGCTACGCTTCGTCATGCTCGTCCGTCGGTACTGGTAATCAGCGTCGCACGAATACGGCAAGACTGGGCTGCTCTGCTGGCTTTGCCGCTCAAGCTCGGCATCCCATCCATAGAGATCCTCGTCAGGTGCGACATGGCAATATGATGCAGGCTCGTCGGGGGGCATTGCAACAGCCTCATCCTCTGGTGGAGGATGGACGTTGATGCCCAGCAGGTTCGAGAAATCCGTAAACCGACAATCGATTGGAGGAGACGCAGGTAAAGGCAGCTCGCTTGCGTCGATTTCCTTGGCGGTCAACTCGTCGGTAACCTCTCTGCCCGTCGTTTCGCCGGAATCTTCTGGTACGACAGGAGGTACGGCTGGAGTGGACGCCGCGGGAGAGATAATTCCCATGTTGTGAACAGGGATGGGTTTCAACTTGGCGTCTTCAGATATCTCCGTCGTGATCCTCAGAGGAGCGGGAGTGTTGGTTCGCGATCGAACACGAATAGGGCGTCGTACCATCCAAGGTCGTTGGTTGTGATATGCGCTGAATTCCTTTGCGGCCATGCCACCTTTGCATCCACCGTTGCTGATGTGTTGTGGACCAGCAAAAGCAACCTTCTTAATTTCACTGCTGGCCTCTGACGCCGCGAGAGGTAGTCGTTTGCCTGGGTGAGGCTCCTCCCACGGGTTAAAAAGGTGACGGACACGTGAGAAGCCGTCCAGAGGGAGGTGAGAAGATGATGTCGCTGGTGTGGTGGATGTAGTTGATGGCATGACCTCTGGTTCCTATAAAGTGTTGCTCTGACTGGCTTCAGCCATGGTAACGTCCCCATCGTTGACTGGAGCAGATGACGTCGGGTTGTTTCGTCGGTTAGAGCGTGATTTGCGATGGAGACCCAGCTTGGCGCCAACCTTCTTCCACCCGTTGTTATGTGCGGTCAATGCTCGCTGAAGTCCGCCTGGAGAAGTGCTGAAAGTCCAGTCTGAAGTGGGCGGGGTAGTAGGAGGAGTCATTGGCTCAGTGCCAGGAGAAACGGCACTTCCACTGTCGTCTGTCAACCCCTCGCGTTCATTGGGTTCGCCCGACGCAGAAGCCGATCGACTTGTGGCACCACTGCGACCTAGAGTCAGCTGGGGTAGGAACTTGGGAGACTTCACGGGCTCGTCTGACCTAGCCCCGGCACCCTCAGCCCGAAGGCGCAGGCGACCAGGTCGCCCTTCGTCCTCCGCCATACGGCAATCGCCATGGCCCGGCTGGACAGACTCGATGAAGGGAACAAGCACAGAGTCGTTCATGAGCTCATAGACAATTCTGACGGCGTCGTCGAGTTCGCTTGGAGGAGGTGGAGCCGAGGAGCAGTCCAGATTCGTAAGGTGATTCCGCACGGGTGAAGGAAGATTCACCTCCCGCGGTGCGTATGGAATGATGTATGCTTGCATAAGCTTCTCCCACAATGAGCACACATGCTCTTTACCATCGCCAATCCATTCCTGGTTGGTGATGATCTGCTCGTATGCCTTGCGGTATCTGTCGGCGTCCATAGTGAATTCCAGGGTTTCCAGGCAATGGTTCTGAGAAAGGTATGCCATAAAGGCTGCCAATGTCCATGGCGGCGTTGAGGTATTAGAGAGAATCTCCGAGAGAGTGGGTGGTGTCAAGATGACGGCGCCGGGCATCAAGGCCCCGCTGGTGGGTCTTGATCTCGACATGATTGTGGTATATTCCCAGTCCAGGACAGCTGAAGCTGGACTGGGTGGTGGCAGTTCCCTCTCGGGCGAGGGTGAAGGACTCAGGTAGATGGGGGAGTGTTTTCTTATCCGGGACCTTTTCATTTCCACGCCAAGTTCTTGTGCAGAATTGATTGGAGTTGCCAACAGTCGCTGATCGGAAAGATTGCAGCAGACTGGTGTCGGAGGGCAGTCTTGTTTGCCTAGAGTTGTATCGATGACCCCATAGAAGGCGTTTCTTGTCGCAGGTAACTACCGGGAGTGTGGCCTTCCTTCGTTTTGAGACGAATCGAGTCGTCTTCCACAGAGTGTCTTCCTTGGTGGTAAGTGTCGACGAAGAGACCAATCCTAGATCTTGTTGCACAAATTGGCAGAGCAGTTTGAAAAATGCTAGTCGTGAGTCGAGAAAGAACTATCGAGGTGGTGTGAAATGCTCGTTGTTGTGGTGTTGAGTCCAAAAGAGCGAGCACAGCTTAGGTTGGGGCGAGCTGTTGTGCAGGAAAGGACGGGGCCCACGGGAGGTATATAGCCCAGAGCGTTGTAGATAAGGACGCTACGTTCAGGCGGGCTTTGGGAAGAGGCTTGCACTAAGACAAGATTGGAGGCGCTAGAAGTGTCTTGGTGACGGGAATGGAATTGACTCGTCGCAATCGGCAATGATTGTGCAAGATGCTGCTTGCAGAATGTCGCAGACGACAGTCAGTTAAGAGTAAGAGTGCAGCGAAGCCCCAAGGTAGACCAGTGGTTGTATGTTCTGAGCGATGTATGCGGAATGCAGTCAAGCCACACGTTCGACGGTTATCCAATACGGTCGAGGATACGATGCGGCACAAACGGGTTCCTTTGGCTCGTGGCTTTGGCTTTGGCGACGTGACGTCTTTGCAGGTTCGAATTCGGGGGTAGATGCTGATCGAAGGATATGAACGATACGGAGCGTAGCGTGGTGATTGAATTCGTCGATGCGGTGGAAGAAGTCTCTCGAAGCTGGAATTTGGTAGGACAAGGGAACTAGCTATGAGAGAGAACGTGGTAGCGAGTTGGTGACCCGCGTCGGAATAGTGGTTGTGTTGTGTTGTGTGGCGGACACGAAGAGTGAAGTCGGCGACGATGTTCGTACGGCGGCAGGCGATTGATGTCGTACAGCGATATGGATCTCTCTTTTGACTATGAGGTGATATCAAGGCGAAGTTGACGGATGTTGTCGAGGAAATAGTTCGCAGTGTATCGTGAGAGAGTGGAAGAAGCAGTAAGTAGGCGAAGGAAAAGGGACTAGTGAGAATGTCTGTCTCGAGAGAATCGGGAGTGTTTGAGAAGGAGAGGGAAGGTGAAGCATTAACGGTAGGATTGATGGGGATGGGTAAGAGGAGAGGACATGAGATAGCTAAAAGCGTCTGGTATCCATCCAGTCAGAACAAGTACATGGGCCAAGTATCTTTTTGACGGCGGCCGTACCGTATCATGCCTATGGTAGGCGAGGAGGCGAGGCAAGGAATGGTAGAGTAAGGTCAGGTTAGGTAGGTACGGGGCCCGCAAGAGGGAATGCTCCGCACTGAATTAGCGCGCCGGGGGCCATGTGCCTCAAGTACCAGAAGTCTTGGGTTGCGGGCAGTATCCGTACGTACTTGGACGACAATTCCCCTACTGGACAACACCCAACGAGGCATGGCAACGAGTAGCGGTACCTTCATTCCCGAGGTCCATGGTTCCCACTGAGCCACGGTGCCACCCCTCAGCGAGAAGAAGGGGGAGCGCATGCGCACCTCAAATCAGATCCATCCTTCCATCACCATGCTGCCCAGGCCCCAGGGTCATTGACCCATCCACCAGACCAGCACCAGGAGGGTCCCGGTCCATTCAATCGCTCTTGCCTGTTGGAGGGAGACCCGGACGAGGCGCTGGACGGGGCAAAGGCCCAAGGATGTGTGCGGGCTTTTGAGCAGGGGAGGCCTGCCAGCGGAAGGGGAGCTTGCCAGGATGTGGGAACAAGTCCATCACGCTAAAGAAGGTACGAAGAAAAGGACCACGAACAAGGTATTGTTCACGGCGAAGGCATGCTATGTTGGTACTTGACTAAGGTCATCCACTCGGGTATCACCGCCGAAGGGAAGAAAAAAAGAAGCACTGACCAACCCTGGACGGAATTGCCTATGGCCCAGTGAACAGTAGTGTACGCTGTGTGCTTTGCAGGGTTCATTGGGCAAAGGAGACAAGACGAGGCAGGAGGCACATCATTGCCCGGAAAGAGAAGGCCAGAAGACGACCAGTGGCCAATGGAAGCCAAGCGATGGAATATGCGCATTGTACTCCGTGTTGCTTCTAAACTTCCATGTCGCTCCTAGACCAGTCTTCGAAAGTAAACAGCGAACAAGCTTCAATGTGCATGCGATACCTACAGAGGTTTGGGCATTCTACAGATACAGCTACACAAGGACACGCTGAAGCTACACCAACACCGCGGGCGGGTACCGGTGGAGGCATGTGGTGACTAACAGCCCGGAAGTGACGCGTTGCTCTTGCGACGACACCGTGGCACAGAGGCGGGGAGCATTTGCTGCGGTTGGGCTGTAGCCTGTGGTAACGTGGTTGCGTGTAGAAAAAGAGCTCCAGAAGTCCAGAGAGTCCAAATGGAAGCCTGCCATAGACGGGAGTTTCGGCTTGCTAAGGAAGCCGAGTACCCTTCCGAGACTGGAGTCGAGGCAGGCAGGAAGAGCCAGGGCATCCTATCGTAGCCGAGAGACGATGGGTTAGGGACTTGAGTGGTCTTCTTTGCCCCGTCCTTCTGTGGAGTCGTATTGTCGTAAAGGGGGGTTCGGTATTATGGTCACAGTGGCCTTGACCCCCTGGTTCCCCCTTTCTCCTTCGTTTTCTTCCTGTTCTTGTTCTTCCTCTCTTCAGGCCCTTCAGCTGGAGGGCACGGAGGCTTGGCTTAGCAATCAGCAGGGGTTGGGGAGGTGACAGCCTGAGCAACAATTGGAAAGTGACCTTGAGCTGACAGGAATGATGCACAACAGCGGCAGAAGAAAGGCGGGAAGACGAAATGGAAGACGGATGGAAGACGGGATGGAAAGGTGACGGAAGGGAGGGGGAAAGTTGGGGGACAAGCCATGGTGAACTCTGAAGGAAAAGGGGTGGGACAAGCCGTGATCAACTGAGCCCAGCCGGATTGGTGTGAGTGGAGCCTCTCAGCACTAGAGTACGCTAGAAGGCTTCGAAAGAGGGTCCGAGTGATCCAATGATGGCACTGCATGGGCTGATGGTGCCCGTTTAGGGAAAGTCGGTGGAAAAGAAGAGACAACCAAATGGAAGGCATATGGAACAATTCGATCAAGGGAAGGAGACAGGGATCATCCTTAGGTAAGCATATGACCTAGGGCACGGAGTACGTGCTCTTCGAACCTACCTCTCTATCCGTACAGTCTACGGAGTACCTGCCTACGTAGTAATAGGCTGGGCTGGCCCTGACTGAACGGGATGAGAGTGAGGGATAATGGGCGTGACGGGATCGAAAGGAGCGGGTCGCGGGATTACGGTGGTCTAGGCTAGGTCTTTTTTCTCTCTCCCTCTCTTCTTCCCCGTCGCAAGTTCTACAGCTTTACAGTTTTCCATGCTCGTATTTTTTTTTCTCAGCGCATGGTATTTCACGCAAAGTGTATGGAGTACGTACGGAGCACCCGTATCTTTTTTTTTTCTTTCCAAATATTCTCTCAACGGTAAGCCTCGGCAGGGTAGACACGGCTGTGGTCTACCAGGGACCTGCTGCCCATTCTGCGTTTGCACTTCTGGGCCTGGACCACCAAGATACGACCGTTCGGCTTCACCATCTTGGTTCCATTGCCCGTTTTCTACGGAGTTCGGAGCCAAGAACTGGGGGTTACGTCGGCTTCGCCTATCCCTCCAGTTCAACCGCAGTCTCAGTCTGTACGTCTCCTGAGTCTCCCCCCCCCGGTCATCTCGCCATTTCGCGCTTATTCCCTCGTCCATTGACTCCATTGGCCTTGAGGAAGAAATGAAGCAGACCAGACGTGTCACCGTCATCGTGATCGCGGTGCCGGCTATCCTTTTCACCTGCTTGGCCCCATGGCCGTTTCCCTCGTTTCATCCCATCAACATCCAATCACTCGACGCGCTTGTTGGCCATCCACAGTTGACCCCTTCCTCCGTCCCATCTCGTGCCCCATTTCATCCGCTGGTCGCTCCATCAGTCCATCTGCTTTCGATAGGCGTCGGGCGCCGGCGCCGGCGCGGGTCTGACTGACACCTTTGACGGGAGCCCTTGACTCTGTCGTCTGTATCCGTACAACGCATGCCAATGGCGTAATTTGATGTCACGGATTCCACCAGAGGTGCTGGACAAGACATTTCGTTGCCATATCTCCATCTCCAAAAGCAACGTGTGGGACAGAGCCCGGTTTATACAATCAGTGACCGGCCCAGCATAGTATCTGCACATGGCCTCTTTTGGGACTTACTCTGAACTCAGGCTAATACTCTAGAGACACCTGCCTTGGAGATATCAGCAACCCTCGAACCTCATCCTTATTGACCCTTCACAGCCTCAACATCAGGATAGACACTGACACCTCAAAATACATGCTCTTACAAGTGAAAAACGAACTTATTCCTACTACCAGGCTAACACCATCCGGACTTTACTCTACACACAGCACACCCCAGGGGGTTACCCGTGCACGCAGTACTCACACCCTCGCTCTCTCGCGCTCACAACTCATCTTTGGGCTATGGCGCCTTCCATTTCCAATAGATCCCTTGCTATTTCGGCCATCTCTCCGTCTCACCGTCCGTTTCGCTTCCCAGTTAGCCTCGGTGGCCGCCATGATTCAATTAGTCGCAGTCGCGCGCAGTATTTCTCTCTCAGACCCTCTAGCCGGCTCCGCAAAAAGTGCCAAATGCCAGGAACTCCCTGGCTCGCCGCTCGTGCGAGCTTACAGAGCTCTTACAGAGCAAATGTGAGACTCAGAGTAAGAGAGAGAAAGGGAGCGAGCGCTGCCGTTACCGTTGCCGCCGCCGCCACGCCGCGCCACGCCACTCGCGGCTGGCACCTCCTTGCAGTTTTCACGTTCCATGGACCCATGGGTGACAGAGCAGTGGAAAGCGAATCCGCGTTCTCTCAGAGTTCCATGAACCCATTCCATCGACTAACCCCGAGGTCCCGAACCACAGCAGACCTTCTCCTGTTCACCTTCTGTCGCACGACCGTATCTAGGTAGTATCTGCGCGACTGCGTCACTGCGCTCGACCCGCCAGCGTAAGAAATAGAACATCCGACCAGCGGCGGCCAACTGCTCATGTACGTACGGATGGTTGAGGTGAAGCAACGCCAACACCAGCCGCGTCTCTGTATCGGTACGCTGTGGATCATGATGGTCCTGAACGGGCCGAGGCCATCTTCAAGATGCCGTGTCCAATGTTTCCTTCTCCATGTTCCATCTCACTGGAAATCTTCTTTCCCCAGCCGATCTTGGGCTTGGCGTAGTTTCTCCCACATTCATGTGCTCCACGCCTTGTTATGGCTATTTCCTTCGAATCAAGCACAAGCAAACAATGCCCATTCTTACTCTAATTATCATAATTTCCACCTGACCAGCTGCTGTCTCTTTCTCTCTCTCTCTCTCTCTCTCTCTCTCTTTCTCTCTCTTTCTCTTTCCATCTCCCCCAGATCTAGAGAGGCATCTAGGGACGTTCATAATACAGTATCAATCTTCGGTACGGATACACGTGTAGCGACACACTAAACGAGCCTGGCTGGGAGCCTTGTCCGCCGAGGTAAGAATGTGTGGGTGTCTAATTACATCAACATCCACCGGCCACCAATTCTTTTCCCCGTCCCAAGATTCAAGACTCCCAGGTCCAAAAGACTGGCGCAGTGGATCGATCAGCAATGGGGGGGGAAAAGATGTCATGCTATGGCTCGAATGTCTGATCAACATGCTTGCTAGTAGTATGCGGCATTGGACTTTCCGATTATGGCATAACGCCATGCGACGATGGTACGGGTGCGCCATTCAGACGGGCTAGAAGCAAGACCCTCCCCCTCCTCGACACCGTCGTCACCTTTTACTTTTTTGTTAAACTCACGGGGAGAAGGAGAGGTGTGTGGTGGGTTCCTACCGTTTGGCAATGGAAGAATCCACGAGGAGGAGAGTGAAGAAGAAATAGGATGAGACGTGGGTGACGCGATGTGCCGCAGTCTTACATATGCCGTCATACTGTTCCTTCAAGACAATGCCAAATAGACGCACGGGTACGGTACACCGCGCCTAGATACCGGTCTTTGAACTCTCTCCCTCTCATTGCATCTCATTACCTACCCTGTTGGAACTACTGATATGATGTTAAATGAGGGAGGTAAGTACAGGCTGTTCAGAAACTTTCAGTATCTTTTACGGATTTTGCGTAGCTAAACATCCGATCTGCCGCGTTTTGATGAATCCCCGGAAGATTAACCCAAGCGGGCCCCATCCCCCAATGACTTCCAAGCCCGCCCGCCCCCATGTAGTATATCTGTACTGTACAATTCGTCCAGCACCCCGTCCACGGTCCAGCAAGGTTGGTCACCAACTTGCCGAAAGCAGAAAGTGACATTCAAAGGCCTTTCAGAAAGGGGGGGGGGGGGGGGGGGGGGGGATGTCACGGTGAGCAACGGCAGAGTTCATGCAAGGGTGTGGTTCTGGCGAGAAAGGGTGTCTGCATCCCGCACCCTTGATTTAATTCGATTCGATCCCAGTGAACCAGTCGTGCCAGTCTCTCCCTATCCGTATAGATTTGATGTGCCGCCACATTAGGGTCTCTGATAGGCCTGGATAATAGTGATATTCACGCCTACATGAAATTACCGCTTGACGTTGCGCCACCCGCCGAATGAGCGATGCAATATATCGTCAGTTAACTCTCCTTATACAACGCCGCGGGGGGCACGAGAGAAAGGAAAGCTGCTCGAACTCGAAATGAGATCGTCTGCGATTGATCACAAAATTGAAATCGGGAAAGAAAACAATGCAAGCAAGCAAGCCCCCCGTTTCCGTTCGTTCCCATGCTTGGGTTGTGACATCTGAGACGGACGGCACACACCATTCTCACACACACACACACTGGTTCGGCAGTTGATTAAGTGTGGCATTTTCGACCACCCAAGAGTCAAAAATTACGATAGCAAATATGCAAAATGCTGCCCGCGATGGCGACGAAGATCGCGACGGGCGTTGGGTGATGGGTGATATTGGGCAGAAGTAAGACGCATGGCACTTCAGGACAATTAGCAGAACTCTTCATGGAGTTCAGGGATGAGATGCGACGAGTGATTCACGATTGAGAGCTGGATGATCCGCCCCGATCGAAGGTGTGCCCAGCGACTGAGATAATTCGGGTGGGAAGTCAAGGCGTCGTCTGCGCGGTGAGGTAAAACGGGGCAGAACATGCATTCAGCAAATGTCTCTTTCTTCTATTTTCGTTCGTGTTTGTTCTTCACGTCGTCCCGTCTGGTCCCCTCTCCCCTCGTATGACCTCATCCTCACCCCCAACGGAAACCTTCTAGAAAGGTGGGTTCGCAGTACCTCGAGGTATGTTTCTTCTCCCCCCTCTCCGCCGGATGTCAATCCGACAACCCAACCTCGAGAGTCTGGACCTGGAAAGAAGAGATGGTAATGAAATCATTGTCGCCGGATCATCAGACGAGCGAGAGCCCCTCACATCATTTTGTCTGCAGGTTGAACTAATTCATTTACCAAGACTACGTAGACTGCGGTTCATGTGGGCTACGGGATAACCAGTCCGGCTTAGCACAACCCTTGGCCGCCCCCTCCCTCATCCACCATCCCCCCCATCCGCCTCTGCCGCCGCAAGCCGACTCGTTCCCCCCGCGGCGCCCCATCCGCTTAACCATGCTTCGGGCTCGCAATACCTCGAAAGTTTACGTACACATATGTTTTTTGGTTAAGGTTGCGGTAAAGTCCGGCGGCTGCCGAGCCAAGATGTCGAGGGGTGGTTGAACAAAAAGAAACATCAAGCAATGTTGAGGGAGCGAAAACGAATGGGAGAAAGCTAACAAACACAGAGACAGAGACAGAGACAGAGAGAGAGAGAGAAAAGAAAAGGTGTGTTGTGCGGGATGCCGACGTGTCTCTGCCATACTTGGGGCGTTCACTGGTTCAGGCTACGTCTGCTCGGGAATAAGAACGCATGGCGCAGGAAAACTTGGTTTGTTCCCGAATGTGTGTGGCGTGCGTGGGTTGTCGGTTGCTGGTTGCAATCAAACAAGGTTACGCAACTTTTGAAGAATAGGTATGTGTGGCTGAAGGCAAGGCTCGATAGTATCGATCTGGGGCTTAAAGTACCTAAGTATCCGCCATCCACACTTTCATCAACGCAAATGCAGAATGCAGATATGGCCCCCGTTCCGTTCGTTGAGAGCAGCCGGCACGTAAGCTAGCGAATGTTGTGGGTGCAGGCTTCGTGTGGCATCTGCTTTGATGTCTGTGATACTAATACAACCTAGATGTCACGGAGCGGGCTTTGGTGCCCGCTCGCCCGCCCCGACTTGGCTCTCAAATGTCTCAACGTGCCGGTTCCGACTTGAGCTTAACGGCATGCGTGGCTTGATAATCTCAAAAAGAAAACCAATGCATTCTTTCCCCATTGCTTGGCTTTCACGGGTTTCCCCAGCTTGCTAGGGAAGTCCTCGTGTATTTCGGTGGTGCGTTGTGAGATACAATCGGAACCGTCGCCTTGATCGTACATCTCAAGCCTTCACATAAGGGAGGTTCTACATGCGTCCGTCCGGCATGCCCAGTTGGGGCCCTGACGTTTGACGAGGGAGTCGTTGGCCGTTGTGTTGTGCTGCCTTATGCAACGCGTGCTGGGGGAGTTACAGTTGCAGCCGTTCCGGATGCGAAAAGAAGTAAAAGGCGTGGCGGCCGATCCGATGCGACAATGCGGGATACATAAGACGGGAAGGATGAGAGAGAGACACATCGTGACAGGCCCTGGGAATTCAGGTTTCCTTCTGTCTCCCTTGATCCCCCTCGCCCCCTTGAACGTGGTTGGTTGCCAGGCGTGCCAGGTTGCTGAGGGTGATTGGTGATTGGTGACTGGGTGACTGGGTGACTGCAAGGTTGTGGGTTCGTCAACTGGCTCTCCTCGCCAAGGCATGGTCTCAGACATTCGAACAATCAAACATTGAGACCGTTTCTCACGATTCTTCCGTCTCCGGCGATGGCTCGGTTCCACCTGATTCAAGATGGGCTGCTTTGGTTGGTTTGCCTGACTCCGGCGGTCGATCATGTTGTCTCAGGATGACGACGGCATCTGGTGTCGTGGAATTTGTACGAAGTAGATAGCCATTCCGATATCAATATCGGAGTATTCCTGGACAGTGATGGATGAAGCACCCAGTAGCCGGCTGGTTATCAAACAATTCTATCGATATTTTACTCATGCATCATTCACACCAGTCCACTGCAACCTTCAGAGTGCGAGCTGTCACGCTGTGTGGTGACTAAACTTATCAGTGTTCGAGGTCTGCGTCTGAATTTGGCCTGGCTGAGTGCACGTGCAGATCCGGGGTCCTAACAATTGAGTCTCCGAGGCAAGGAAGCTCTGCCGACCGTTTGCGACGAGGCTTGCCACCGTCGGACGGTCACGCTTTGGAGCCGTCCAACTACACATAGCTATCCCACAGGCGAACTGAACTAAAAGCGCTGCAAAAAGTACTACTGTGTATGTGGCAACGGCAGGAATAAGCTTGACGGGCCACAGAATGTGGCTATAAGTGGCTTACCTTTGGGATGCTCGTTACGGCCGCCAACGTAGTCTTGGCAACTCAAGACAGCCTGAGTCGAACCCGATTATCCACCTCTAAGCGAAGAAGGGCGATCACGATTGCTGACATTGGCGCTGACCTGGACGCTGATGCTGACGCTCGGGACGATGAAGCGAAGCGCTGCAGAAGTTTTTCGATTGCTGCCTTCCACGCATTTCCTAGACTTCCATGCATATGTCAGCCTCGTGTCGTTGTTGTGGATGGGCTTGTAAGCTGTTGGTTGACGTCGGCCCAATTTCCAGAACATTTCTCCCGCTTCTTCGTGACAGGGATGTGTACGTGACTACGTCCCGCGCCGTTGAAATGAAAGAAAACGTTAACGAGCTTAATGAACGCTATTCGCACGAGTACGGACGTAGACGGATTGGCAAACTTCGTTTTCCGAAAGGATGGGGTCGACCCCTCCTCTCTTTCTCTCTCTTTCGCAAACAGCCAGATTGTCTCACGGCATGTGGCCGTACTGTAGATTGCCATGAGGGAATTAGCTGGGGATACCGCTATGTTGCGTGGGCCGTGGGCCGTGGACGCCGGGACGGTGGTCGGGCTGCGTGGCACAAGTGTCCTTGTGGCCCAGTCCAACGGCGATTCCGTTGCTGGGGCCTCCATGTTGGTGAAAAGTCACCAAATATCCGCACCTTGGGCCTTTTCTGCCCCCTCGTCATTCCGTTTTGCCCTCTTGTTCGTGCGTGGGGAGATTCAGATCAGGGCATGACGATAACTTTCCGGATCGGTTCAATTCCCAGAGCTTTGCGTGAATCAAGTCCATGTCGCATGCATGGGAAGACATCATGTCAACCGACAGCTATTAGTCCGTAGCCGCTACCAAGCTCTTCCCCGGGATGATCAGCAAACACTGTTTAGAGGGGCTGGAGGCTGGAGAATACCGTGACAAACCCGAGAGCGGGCCAAGGATGACGGATGGAATAAATCTAGAACGAAGGGGGTCAGGGAGGGCCCGGAAGAAGATGACACGGGTCAGCGGAAGTATCACGGGGAGAAGGTTGTGAGTGAGCAAACGCAATGCTCATGCAGAATGAAAAGATATCCGAAAAAAAAAACCCAACTATTGGAATGCGAATAGTTGAGGCTTGATTTTTCCACATCTCGGACGAGGGGGAGGGGGGTGAGGTGGGTAAAATCAACAAAGGGTCGCGTCAAGAGATGCTATGTCGTCATACTCGTAAATATAGGCATGTGCGGCGAAGCTTCCTGCAAGATTCTATGCAAGCAGGCGGCATGTGGCAGCATGCACACCTTCCTACACAACTTACAAGAAGTAGTCGTGACCGTGCCCTTTAAAAAATCGAATAGGAAAGAGCGCCACGGATACGATACCCTCTTCCTTCCTAAGGTAGCTTGACGGTACCTTGCGTGCTTACCTCATGTAAGAGCCCTGAGGTCTGCTTGCCTCAGCTTCCTTAGTGAGCCTCAGGTAGGAATCCGCAAAGTACGTTGAGGAGGCACGCAAGCACGGATGACACTTGTTTTCTGCGTCTTTTGCAAACAGCAGACTCCAGGGACATTTCCATCCAACAACTGCCCACGCACCACGCCACCAGTCCATAGCAATCTGCAGCCAAAATCTACCTTATGCCTCTTACGGTTCACCAGTAGGGATTCGTTGTCGCCCAAGCGCCCTATCGACCGCCTTGTTCCCGAGAATATGAAAGCAGGTCTGGGCTGTCTGCACGTCTGACTGTGTTCCCTGCCAAAAAGCCCGAAGCGGAGTGGACGTGGAAGCTTCACGGAAGAGAGAGAAGCCATTGTGGCAAAATGCTTGCTTCTAGAATCCTTCCATTTCCGTCTTAGCAACCTTCCAATCTCCGTTGATGGCTGGTCCCGACCATCAATTGGATCCTGACCCTTCTTCCGCCCCAAAATCTCCGTTCGTGGGAGCGCCAACAAACGCACGCGGTACCCTCATACTTCCTGGCAGGCACCGGGGTGGAACATCCTCCAACCTCCTCTGCTTGGTGACTGGTCGGCGGCTGCGGGTGGAACGCAGCACTGAAGTCTGACACTGACGCGCTCGCGGCGATGCAGTGGCGGCATCCAACGAACGACGTCCGACATGGGTTATCTTGTTCAAACTTCGCTGGAGCCCCAGGAGACCACGGAGACCTAGCCCAGGCCCCAACTTGCAAGTCACGTACTCGCTCTCCAAATCCTGGATGCTTGTCTCCCAATGGAGGCTGGAGCAATCAGCCAATTGAACCCGTGCCGGGGACTTGGTTGGATATGGAGGGGATAAGGAACACATGCTTGATGGAAGGCTGTTCTTTGTCATTTTCAACACCACAACCACCAAACCATATGATCCCGGACCATGCCTGCCACATGCACCTTGGTTCTTTTACCTGGCGTTTACCACCTGAAGCTTGGAACAAGACATTGTATACATTGGTATGTGAGGATCCCCTGGGAGTCAGCCCAGTTCCACGCTCCAGCAGCGTGTCACATTGCGGTGTACGAATACAACAGCTGAATGGTCCAAAGTACGATGCAGGGACCCAACGACGCAAAAAAATCTCCGTAGCGCCGACGGCGTCGCCGGTACCTCGAATCGCACCGCAGAGACGGTGTCTACTTGTCGTGGACTCGTGTCTATCCCACACATTCCCGAAGACCCGACATCCGCTTCAATGAATACGTCCGGCCTCAACTGCCCCAATCTCCCAGCCCTCGTAGCTTCGTAGGACGGTAGGAAGACCGAAGGTGCCCATGATGCGCTCTTACTTTCGCACCGAATGCGATTCAAACTCCAACTTCAGGACGACGGGAGGCTACATGCCCAGGCGAACCCAGCCGGCCGACCCAACAAATAGGTTACCGTCTCCGAGTCGCGCCGCGCCAAGTATCGCGGCGGTGTTGAGCGCTACACGGCCAACATCCGTTGTTGGGAGGAAGCCCGATGGCTACCAAACCCTCGGGTGCAATCTCAACATACATCCATCTTCCTTTTTGACATCTTAGGGTCTGCTCGTTGATATTCTCACTTGCTGGGTCTTCATGGGTCTGTGTTGGTCTCGTTTTACTCAAGCAGTGCTTTCTGTGGACCTCGACTGACTCTTAACACACACACACACACACACACACACACACACACACACACACACACACACACACACACACACACACACACACACACATACACACGCTCTCTCTTCCTCCGAACCGCTACGGATACAAATTTGCCCACAATCTCTTGGCCGCATTGACATCAAATCTAGAAACACCAGCCCGGCGACGAGTCTCCTAGTCTCCACAACTAGCGTAAGGTGGGATGACCATCTACACAGGGACTAGACCTTGAGCGTCTGAGCAGTCTTCGGCTATCGTTTCGTGCCAGCGTCCGGAGCTGTCGCTGGCAGAGAATACAAACACCGTGAATGACTTCGTCGATGGTGCGATCTCATGGCCAACCAGTGGATAGCATCGCGTCTTTCTTACTAGCTGTATTCACTAGGCTGCTCCTTGGCCAACTTCTAATCTTCCTTCGGATTGCTTGTTCCGCACAACGTGCCCCAGTTCCGCTCTTGAGGCAAGCTGCTATCCGTACCTACATGGAGGGACATGACTCTCGACGACCCGCTCACGTTCCATGTCCTAATACAGACACGCAGAGCACAACTACACGGATACTGGACCCTGTTCTCGTGCCCGGGTCTGTACTGTCAACGATCGGCAGGAACTTTAAGTCGATCTCCCTATCCCCAGGCTCCGCCGCCCGTCCCAGATCCCGCGGAAGAGAAAGAAAGGATGGAAATACTCGGATTGCATGTTGCTCGGACACGTATAATACTTGGTAGACACACGCGGAGTGGCAGACGAGACGAGCATAAACTCTTGGCACTCGATCGCTGATTCCTGGCAGCAACTTGACCGGTTTGCTCCTCTGCGTACCTGCCTCCATTTTCATTCCAGCTCCTCCACTCTGGCCGGGCGGGCAGAAAATATTGCTGGAAAGCGTAAAAGGCGAACTCCGAGTTCCAGTTTTCTTGCCATCGACGATTTGACAGATGTAGTCTATGCGCGCAAAACGGCGCGGGGTTTCCGCTCACCCAGAACTGGTCTCGCAAGTAGGAAACGGTTACTACCCAAGTTGTACAGAATTCTCAACGAAGCCCCCTTTCTCATGAAAACCTCGCTGGGTTTTCGCCACTCGGAAGCGCCATTCACTCGACAATGCAGCCGCCTGAGTCGTTGGACCCCTTCCAAAAACCCTTACGAGTCTGCGCGCGAGGAGCGAAGCGGAAGAAGAGATGGGGCTGGCTGAGAAGAGAAACCGTGCCCACACTCCTTCCCGCCTGCTCCCCCTTGGCGACCATCTCACCTTGTGTCAAATCGACGGGACAGCTCAGAACCCCTGGGTCGATCGTGGGAGCTGGACCCTAGCGTTTTACGGAGTCGTAGGAGTTTGGTGGCGGCGCTTGTGTCTTTTTTTCTTCCGTCTGTCTCTTCTCCCTGTTAGATTCTTTCGGTGCCAAAACTGTGAGCCTGCACTCTTGGCCTCACAGGGCTCAACTCCATAACACCTCGGTAGCGTGGAACACATGTCCGTTTGACCGCCGGGTTCATGTTTGCCCCTTCCAAGGAAAGAAAAAAAGAGAAAGAGAATCCGCCGGGCCCCCAACGACAACGCGTCGAGGTTGGGAAAAGATCCCCTGATCCCCTACTAGTGGCTTCTACATCCCCGCTACGCTACACGCTCGAACGAATGTCGTTACGTTAATCTTTTGTAAAAAAAAAAAAAAAGGCAGCCTATACTCCTCGTGACATGTGAGCTTGCGGCGGCGGCGGCGATAGGGGCCATCCAACAGGGGGGGCAAAGTCGAAAGAATAGAATTGAGATACTCTGTGCCCCAACCGTGGCCATCTCAGGTCGGAGAAAAGCCAAGGAAAACCAACCATCCCAAAAGTCCGGCGCGGAAGGGTTTCTCGCCGGCGACCCGCACCTGAAACGTGTAACTCGTTCAACTTTTGGCTCTTTCAGTCTGCCTGCCGCTGGAGAAAGGGTTGGTGACTCTCCAGGTTGGGTTGCCTCCATCGGAAAATCGGTCCCCCGCAGGACTTGGGAACAAACATTTGCCTTGGCCTTGGTCACTATGGATTTTGTGTTTTTTTCTCTTTTTGCCGCAATGGCCAAGCGTACTTCGAATGTGCGGCAAGAAGTCGGCAGGAGACCGGCAAGGAGGAGGGGCTTTCTTGGTCCTTGGCTTGAGGACGTTGTGTGTATCCGTACCGGTCTCCGGAGGGGGTTTCTTCTTGTTGTACGCGGCCGGTACAAGAGCCAAGCCAGCCATTGGGTGGCAGTGAATTCGACGAGACGAAAATGATTCAGGCAAGGCACACACACAGTAAGCATTTGTGTGTGTGTGGTTTTGCGTGGTCCCGTGGAGTGGAACTGCGTCTGGCCTCTGTCACGATATCCATTCCATCGCCTTCGGCAACGCGTAGTTGCCTGGATCCAATTTTGGACACCCATGTGACGTTTGGAAATTCTGGTTGATGCAAAGTCCAGTTGGCTGGGCTAGATGGTAGAAATCTGAGCTGCCATGGCTCTTTCGGCCAAGTCAGGGGGAAGCTTACACGAGTAGTGGTGGATGCGGATGGCTTCGTCACTGGGGCATCTGCAAAGGGGATTTAGGAAGTTGTTCTAGCGACGCAATATCGTCTTGGTATTTCCCTCATGTTGAGGTCTCGTGCAAAGTTGAAACGGGTGCCCTTTCCATCTATCTTGGAGATGCCAGGCACAAACAGTAGTGTTCCTACACACTTTCAAACAAACACTTATACAAACAATTCCAACAAGAAACCGTCCAACCGGGCTTTTTTGTGGTATCCATCCGAAAACTCCCAATATCTTTCAACAACGCCTGGCCACCCGAGGAATCCCAAATCCCTCTCACGAATAAAATAGTAATAACGATAAAAACGTAACCCATCTGGAATGCCCAGCCAAAAGCTGTTGTCCATCCTTCCATCATCCTGTTCCGGATTTGCTCAACATTATGGTTCTTCGACGGACCCAATGTCCACAGGGGATTCGGGTCCATCGCTCAACGTTCTGCAAGCTTTTTTGAGGGGTAGAATGGCGTCTCAGAGATCAGCGAGATCAAATTCGCCGCTGAAGCCCTTGTTGAGAAGCATGCCTGCAATTCTCAGACGTTGTTCTGGCAAGTCCTCGCCAGCGTAAGCGTCAATGGCATTAAGACCAAGTGCAAGACACATTCCGTTGGTGATCGTGAAGACACCACAGTCGTATCCGTTGGTCTGCATCGGAGCCTCATGAATGACTACCTTCCATTCGTTAGCCTTGTAGTCACCGCCTAAGAAGGCCTGGACCCATTTCAAGGCTCTGGTAGTATGTGTGGGCGAGCCGGCAGGATTGAAGGAATCCATGTGCGAGACGGTTCGCTTCTTGGGCCGGATGACGAGCAATGTCCAATGGTTGTTCTTACAGATGGGCATGAGGATCGTCTCCAGGTTGAGGAAGTTGTTCTTGTTGATTCCGTAACGGCGGAGTGCTCGTTCAGTGTTCTGAACGCCATTCTCCTCTAGTCTCTTGTAGAAGAATGAGCCCATGGCCACGCACACTCGGTTTGGTGCCTTCACGTCCACGGCGCCTGCAGCCATATTGACGTATCGGTCGAGCCATTGCAATGCGCCATTGACAATTTCGTCGTTGAGCCACACAGTTGGTGGAACTACCATGGCGAAGTCGTGCTTTCTGAGGGGAACGCTTTCAGCTGTCGTTGCGAGTGTCAGCGAGGGATTGGCTTGCATTGTCGCTTGCACCTTCTCGACCCATTCAGCCGGTAAAGAGGTAACCAGAGGTCTTTGAGGAGTGCGAAGTCCACCCGTCGCTAACAGTCTCTCCTCCCTTGCCTGTCTAGCTTTCTTTTCCTCTTCCTCTCTTCGGCGTGCCTCGTCGACATCAAGCAACAGCTGCAGCGCGAGAGAGAGATCTTCAAGCTCCTCTTCCTTGTCGTCTGAGATGGTCAGACCTGCTAGGGTTGGGGGGCTAAGTGGGCTGGGTGGGCGGGATGATAAGTCCTGGGATTCGTCCTTGGCGAAGAAACCCTTAGCTTCAAGGCCATTCAAGGATTTATTGAGATGCTCCAGCAGTTGGGGTTGACAGCGGGCGGCGATTTCCTCGCCATCGCTCTCTTCTGATACACTGTCAGACTTAGGCGCGGTACCTAGGTGCCGATTCGACATCGAAGTGCTAGGGCTGTCCGACGAGCCGTCAAGTTGGGCATCGCTCAGAGGGCTAGCATCAATAACGTGTCGTCCCAATGGTGATCCGAAAACGGTAGGAGAGCCGAAAATTCGGTTGAGGAAGCTCGTCGATTTCGCCGGTGAAGGAGAAGATTGCTTGGTAGATGGCGAGAATTGCACTCTTTTGAGGCCTCTTGACTTCTGCAGTCGCTTCAGCGAGGCAGGAGACTGGTTGTCTCTTTTGAGGACAGAAATGGGGCTTGGTTTACAGACCACGTCGTCTGGTACCATGCCTAGGGGTGCGTTTTTGTACGTAGCTCTGCGCTGGGATGCGATGTCGGCCAATTGGTCTTTGACAAACGTATACGCTTCCGTAGTTCTTGCAGGAGGATAATAACTTCCCTGTTTTGCGGTTTTCTCGGCGGGAAGAATCTCTCTTTGATCCGGGGCCTTGATGGAAGGTTTCGCCTGGTTCGAGACTTCGATGTTGGTCGGGATATCTGGGAAGCTGCCGGGCATTGCAATGTCGATCCTCGAGATCGGGTCCTCAGATACTCCAATGCCGAAGCTTTCGCGCCCTCGGAAAAAACTCATGACCTTTCCAACGAAACCAGCCCGTTGAACTAGTCCAGGCATTGGCTTTCGACTGGCCAGAGCAGCCAAGTCAGCACTTAGCCCTTTGATAACGCGGCGTGGGACGCCAGCCTCGAACAGCAGAGAGTTGCATTCATCAGGAAAATGCTCGAATAGGCGCTGGGCCACGGCAATAGCGACGTTCTCTTCGGGGCTGAAAGTATAGTTCATGACTGACTGAGGGACTTTGAAGTTGGTCTTCAGATCCGCCAAGAACGTATGAGAGTAGATGTTCTCAAGTATCCAAGCAGTTTGCCGGAAAGCGTCGAGGTATGAACCGAAGACATAGATCTGCTGCTCATGAGCTTGGTCGTCCAATCTAGAGACAGGAGACCCTTCCCTGGATTGTGATCGCCTCTTTTCGATCCGGTGGCAGATACACCTCAAGGTGCGGACGAGAGGGGCTATGTGATGCCAGTGAGCGATCCGTGTCGATTCATCTACCCAAATAAGATTGGTTTTGGCTAATTCCGTATTGGTAGCGAAGCTCTCATCGGTAAAATCATCGACAACCTCCAACCTAATGCGCTTCGTGCTAGTGTTGCCATTCTGCTGACCACAAGAGAGACTCTCAACAGCAATGAGGTTATGGTTGCGGGGGTACACTGTGACTAGATTAGAATGAGCTCGTCACCGTCTTCTTAAAGCAAGCTAACCGTAGCCAACAATGTTGTTGGAGACCTTTGTGACCGTGCCACGGACTGATGTCATGATACTGGTGAGCCAATTCGTGTAGGCCCGAGGTCTCTGTCACGAATAGTTAGCATCGCCCTATCGTGAGATCATCAAACAACGTACGTCTTCTTTGTTTGGGTCCAGAACGGCAGCACCTCGAGCGTTCGCAAGCGGCTCTTGCAGAGGCTCCCTCCCATCCGTCGCATTCGCCAGGATGAGTTCGAACTCTGAGTCCTCAGCTGGTCGTTTTCGTGACGGAGTCGTGGCAGGTGAGCCTTGGTCCAGAGACAGTCGTCCCTGTTCGATAGTCTGAACCGTAATCGTCTTCTGGCTCGACCCCTGAACAAAAATTCTTCTAGTTCCCGAACTGTCGTTCACTTCTATAGGTGTGAGTTCGTTGGGAGGAATGCCGATTGTTTGCTGGCCTGGGCTGAACGACCAAGCACCTGGGGGCGCGGATGGCGAGCTGGATTCCGAGCCGCACTCAGTGTCCTCAGATTCCGACTCGGCTTCTGAGTTAGAATTGCAGAGATGGAAACTTGAGGATGGCTGGGAGCACTTTCTCGTGGAGACACTTCCGACAGTAGTACGATTGCCCTGGATTCTTTTGGCTGGCTTGGGAATCGGACCACTCGGCCCAAAAAGATCGCTTCTTTCCTCGTGCTGGATGACGAGTTCCTTCAACCTGCGGCGGCGTGATCGATACTCGGCGACGTGGGAAGCTGGGGATGGCTTGTGTAGATTAGGTTGGTGCCGAAGAGTGGCGCAGATAGGCGCGGGTCTCAAAAGCGCAGCCACCGGTCTGAGATAGGCGGACTGCTGAGACCTGGGGAAGGGTGTCGCCTTGATGGGGGGCTGGCAAACGAAGGGATCTTTCGCAGGGTGCTTCTTGTACTTCCGATTTCTTGAAGGATCCTGTCCTGCGCTGCGCGCTTGAGCACGGAATTGCAACTTCTTGACCTTCGCTGCAGCTGGTGTAAAGAGAGAGGAGCCAGTAGGTCCCAACGATCGCGAAAGGGCACCTCCGTTCTTCAAAATCCCACGCAAGGGCTTTCGGTCTCTGTGAAGCGACTGAACAGTTTTGGCTGGTCCAGATGTCTCCTCGGACTTCTTGAGCGTGGCGTCTCTCTGACGCTCCGCTTCCTGGGCCTTCTGGCGCGTAGCTTGAGCGATCTGCGACTGTGCGACTGGAACTCGGTCGTGGCCGATCTTGGGGTCGTCGGTAGTTTGAGTATGGGCGGTTAGTTGCTGAGTAGCAGAAATACCGAAGAGGGGAACGCGGTGGTTGAAGCCTGGGTTGGCGAGGGAGTTGACGAGGGGGGTTTGGATAGGACTGCGTCTGTAGGCTCTAGGCTTCTCGGTTTCGGGTGATTTTTCTCGAATGTCTTTACGAGCGTCGAAGAAGTCGGCTAGTTTCTGAGGGTTCGGGGGAAAGCCTCGGCGGCTCGGTATCTGCAGTCGGTCTGGAGCCATATTGGTTAGCTTGGAAGGTGCGTTGCTTGAAGATGAAGCAGGAAGCATCATGAGAGTCAACTTTGACTCGGCGCGAAAGGCGCGAAAGAGCAGGTGAATATGAAAGGTGCGACGAAGCGAAGAAAAATTGAATTCTGGGGCGTTTACTGTGCCTCTGAAGCTGCGCGATCAGGAATTGGTGCGAAGGCGCTTGGTTGAGTCGGAAGGCGAGTTGTGTCGCGATGCTAGAAATCGGTCGTGATGGAAGGTTGAAATGGGTTGGAGGTGGTCGGGGAAGTGTTGGGGGGGGCTCGAAAGGCAACGCGCTCTTGTTGTTGTAAAAAAAGAAGGCGCACTGCTGTTCATTGAAGAAAAAAAAAAGCTGAATGTAGGTAGCAATGAGAGATCGAAACGGCATGCGCGCCTCAAAGAATTGCACGTTGGATGAAGGAAGGTGAGCCGGCAGACACGGTGGGGAGTGGATTTGAGAATGGAAGTTGCGATGGAGGTCGTGTTTACCTAAGGTACGTAAATTATGTGCCTAGGGTACTGCCTGCCTCCGCTAAGGTAGGTACCTACCCAGGTAGGGAATTCAACTTCATTTTTCTGGCAGCTCTATCGCCCCACTAACCCAATAGGTGCGCGCACCCGTCACTTCAAGCAGCGGAAGGAGCGAAACAGCTTCACAATCGGCATAGTGGAGTGGTTTGCTTGATAAATTCATTCATAGGAACGGGCCACACTTCTAGATACCACAAGGCTGTTTACGTGGATAAGGTCACTGGGAACCTCAAGAAGGATCTAGACGGACCTTGCAAAGTAATTGTTTCTGAGCAAGTGGTTTTCACTTTATAATCGAGGTAGGGATAACAAGTAATAGAGTTTGCTCTCTCTCTTGGTTTTATAATGCTGCAGACGGTGCTATGGTGCCTATCCATCCTGAAAGGTGATATCGGAATAGCCTCACTCTATTGCAGAAATCCAACTCATGTTTCGCTCCAGTACGCCAGTAAGTAGGAACCCAACTCAGTACCTGTACACCGATTTCTCTAAAGAAACCTCTCTCAACCTAAGCATTGTCACACTTCAAGTGCATCACAGCTGGGCTAGCGTCTCTCCGAGCTTCTTTGTGCAGAATGTGCCAAAGTACTCGTTCAATGCATCAACCGTGCCGCTGCCCTCCACCAGCTTTGCGACCATACCAACGTAACCGTCAGGACGCACAACGACAACGCCACCCTTTTCCTCATCAAGTCCCAACTTGGCGTGCGCTGCGGCCTTGGCGTCCGGCACGTGGCGGTCCCACCTGTCATCGGCGTAAACATGGTCGCGGTACCGCCCCAGCACCTCCGGGACATCGCGCGAAATCTCGATGCTGCTTCTCTTTGCAGAAATGATGGTGCAGAATGAGAAGAACTTGCTGTGAGGATTGTGCTGCTCGTGGTGTGAAACACTGTCAACGTCTTCTCTAACATAGGCGGCGTAGAATGAACGCTTGTTGTTAAGATGACTAGCGAAATCTCCGAGGGCCTTGCGAGTGACTGAAGGCTTTCCAGCAAAGACGAAGATGCGGAAGGAACCGTTGAGCGGGATTTCTTGCTCCAGGTGGACAACATTGGCATCGACAACCCTCGTGACGTCGGCGTTCATAAACAGGCGGCCGGTGCGGAGCTTCGTACCCTCGGGATGAATCAAGGATGATTTAGCCCGGTGTGATTCAGACCAGTTCAAGACATTTGGCTTGTAGGCCACGCCGTATCCGCTTGTGAACTCGCATGACTCCTTGAAAGTCTTGATGAAAGCGTTTTCGGACTGCTCCTTGCCGGCGTTCTCGGTGGCTGCCTGAGCTTCGCTTGCGGCATCGGGCCGTTGAGAGAACAGCTTGGCATACCTGTTGTCGAAGTCTAGCAACGTCTCAGCCACGTCCCTCCTCTCAGTCTCGTAGGTCTTCAAAATATCGCGCTGCGCGAAGCCTGCCTCTACAGCGTGGATCTTCCAGGCCAAGTTTTGGGCGTCAAGGAATGCAGTGTTCATGCCTTGACCGGCTTTGGGCTGATATTCTAATTAGTACGGAAGCTGTTTCCGTTCTTGTGTGGACCACTTACGCTGTGGGTATGACAGGCATCACCTCCAAGGAATACCCGCTGATCGAGAGTGTAGCGGTCTGAGATTCCTTGTCCAATAGGGTATACTGAATACCACTCTGTCCTCTCCCATTCAATGGAATACGGCTCAAGAATGCGCTTAGCCGACTCCTGCACTTCCTTCTCACTTGCCGTCTTGCGTGGGTCGAAGTCTGGGTCCGTGGAGGATGCGATCTGAATGTACAAACGGACCATGTTGTCCTCTCGAGGGATGACCATGATGGAACCGTGCTTGCTGTGAATTGTGCATTTCATCTATACCAAAATCAATATGGGCCCCAGTAGAATCATCCTTAGCAAGTTTGCTTACCTTGATATCGGGAAAGTCGGTCTTGACAACGCCATCCATGACACCCCATACGTAAGAAATAGGATCCTTGTGCTTGATACCAATCTGTAATTGGTTCCTGATGAAGGAACGAGCACCCTCACCGCCGAAGAGGTATTTGGCTCGCAACGTTTCCTGGGCGGTACCATCGACATGCTCAAGTTTGACCTCGACAGGGTACTCGGGGTTTTCGGCCGCGTTGGATGAGAATCCCGTAATGGTCCAGGGCCTCTGAACCTGCACGCCGTTCTTCTCCAGGTCACCCAGAAAAACGCGCTCGATATGGCCTTGGTGCAAAAGAGTCGTGAAGGGGTACCTGGCATCGATGAAGTCTGGGCAACTCGCCCAGGTTCCAGTTCTGGCGATTCCGTTGCCCGACTTGGGCGGGTCCCAAAAAGCGACCTCGTAGACTCTGGCAGGCTTGTGGGCCATGATAGCCGACTTGAGGCCCATGTTGCGAAGAAGGTCGAGCGAGCGTGGTTGAATGCCGTCAGCTCTTCCGGTTGGTGTCGGTTCAGCTCGGTTGTCAATGTGCTTGATTCTGTATCCCCATCTGGCTAGAATGGTTGACAGCATCAAGCCCACAGGCCCAGCACCTACGATGACTTTGGGAGGATGTGTTAGCGTGTAGCTCACTGTGAGTTCAGGGTAGCAGGGACTTACCAATATCATAGTAGGTGCCTGACTGGCGATCAGGTTGCGTCTCCATTGTGCGAATAGAAGAGTAGACTTTGGTTGAATCGAATTGGTGAAAGCAAGTCTATGGGAGCGGATGACCAGATTGCGAGACTTCCAAAGTTCAGTCAATAGAGGGGAATGTTGCGCCCAAAAGTGAGAGAAGGATGGTGTCGTCTAGAAAAGAGTCTTTGGGGCAAGGGGAAAAGGCGGCGAATTGGCCTTATATATAGTAGGAGACCGATTGGCGCAGAGATGTCAGTCGGGGCATGGATGGTATAGACGGCGGGGAGATATCCGTGGACGACTGGACAATGAGACCGATCCGAAGGGGACTAAGAGGCCGGCATCGACATCGGGAAGCAGACTGGGGACGGCAACGTAGGCCGGGAACTCCAAATCCCCACACTGGGGTGCCACTTGGGTGGCTTCTGGCACCCAGAGTCACGGATGTGGCCATGTGCGCCTCACGGTGCCCATCTAAAGGGCCTCGAGTCTGGCCAATCATGGTCTAAGGGAATAGAACGGCCATGTTATCCGTACAGGCTTGCGTGGTTGACCCGTAGGCGTGGCAGGCACGTCATGGAGACACTTCCGAAGGGAACCGGGAGGCTTTGCTGAGTGAAGCTTCCACTGATTTGGCCGGCTGGGCATCCCTGCGTGGGGGAGCTCAGGCTTGACAAAGGAGACTCGGGTAGTCGAGTCGGCAAGTTGGATGTGGGGCAGCTCAGATTGGCTTTTTGGTGGTTGTACCTTTTCCTCAGCAACTCCCACGATTGAGTGCCAAAAGGCAGTTGGAGACGGCATCTGGGCGGTGGTCGGTACATGTTTCGGGACAGCTAAGCTCAGCTCAATACGTAGTTACCCACCTGCCCGACATAAATCCAATCACAGTCTGGTTCTTTACAAGGATGGCTACCTATCTTGGGACTTGGGGTCCTCGGAAGTTGGAGAAGGCAAAGTGCGGGGAAAAGACGGTGCAGCTGCACCCCGAGGGTACTTGCCGCTGGCACCGACCGAATCGAAATGTCAATTGCAATGTAGTGAACTGTGGAACGAAGAAGGAATTGACAGGGCAGGAGTTGCCTCAACTTACTCCGCGTGTCCGCTCAGCCCCACTGCACTCTACAAATCAAGTGACATTATTTTTGTCATTGTAATGCAAGGCGCGATGCCAAAGCACACGTGACCGCGGCTGATGTCTCCGTTTGGAAGGCTTGACTGCGGTCTCATCGTTAGAGTTGAGGTAGGCGCGTAGCTCTCTGTATGTGTGTTCCACTCAATTGTAGAGGAGCGTGTAATACGCATCGAATTTGCAATTTGTTTCCTGAGTACGGGTACCTCGTTACGATTTGGAGGTTGAATGCAAGCCCGTTGCTGGAGCCGCACGGACGCGTGCGGTAGAAAACTGGACGGAACCTGTCCGAAGAAGCCCCTGCCTACCACCACGCCTTCAGAATGTGCATTTCCGCATCGCCAACGGCCCTCCGACAAACGCGAACATGTCGACTCGCCCCAACGAAGTTTACAGTCATAGACGTACGGATGGACACGAGAGGCACCTCAAAGCCTGCGGGCAGCGTTGCAGATCCTGCATCGTGCCATGGATGGTGGTTCCCCACGCTCCATGCACTAGCCACCTGTTCCGAGACGGGATCAACCTAGCACGAGGCTAAGCCCAGGCGTTTGCTCTGCGGTTGATGCAATCAGCGTATCCTCTCGACATCAAAAGACAACGAATTGCTCCTATGGTAGTAGTCTATTTCAGTATTGGGACTTATGCTAATGGCGTACTGCGTGCGCAATACTACCTTGCAAAGGCCACCTGGTCGCTTTGCCATGGTCTTGCTGAGTAGAACGGCCTAGGTGTTATATCGACATCCACTTCGAGATTGTCAGAGCCTTGGCAACTTGATGTCTGATAGGCAAGCTGCAAGGGCTTCTTGAATGGTATCGACATTGTGTGTTTGGACCTAGCGATCCCAAGATTTGTAAACTCCCCAACCATGGGCATTATCAGTACCGTTGGATCTCACAGGCCAATTTTGATTCGGCCAAGAAAAGCTCTTTTGCTTGCTTCAAGTGAAGGCACTGTGGCTGGAAAACAGAGCTACTTGGCTTAAGGTAACCGACAACAGGCGGGCTGTGAGGGCACCACATACGATCTGGGAGACCAGATCTATCAGTGGCATATCTGGTCGAGTGACCTGCCGCATTAAGAGCAAAAGCTTGCCCTACAGTCACGCATGTAAAACTTGACGTTATGGAAAATTCAACCCGGATCGGATTTGTTGGCATGCTTCCGTGTATCGCCGACAGTTTGGGGAGGGCGGAACATCTGCGCCTTCCAACCTCGAGGCGTGTACTTTCCTTGACTGCCTTCGTACTTGCCTGACGACAACGACCACACTTGCCTTCTCTTTGATCTCTGCGGTTGTTCGATCTCCGCGTCTCCGTTCATGTGGGAAGGCTGCGAAGATTCTGACGTCCTGTCTCTCTATAGCTTGTGTCCTTTCGCATTCTTTCCCCCAAGGGTTGCCGAGAACTCGGGCTTCTATAGGAGCGCAGCGCCTATGATACGGTCGATTGTGACGACGACGAGAACGCCTTTCTACGCCCAGCTGTATGCCGCCATGGCACAGAGCAAGTAGTAGATGGTGCCGCATCCCTCTCACTAATACCCCCGCAAGACGCACACCACCGTGTTAAAGCCGTCTGACCACTGCCGACCATCCTAGCTAGTTCCGGTAACCCTGTAACCATGCGGAACCGGCTTAGCCTCCAAGCCTGGGTTGAGTCTATTCAGACAGCTGCCCAGGCCGATGATGAGGAATGGCGCCGAAGGCTAGCGAAGATGGGAAACGAGTTCGCCCAGGACACTCTGTCGCGCCATGATTATGACGAAGGAAGTAGGTTGCCTCCGATCAACCCAGGATCCTGGATATGTACTAAGGATGCGCAGAGTGTCGCAACGTCCTTGTCAGATACTGTGCACACATACCCCGGAACTATCAATACCGGGACGGTGTTCAACTCGTAAGTCAGACACTCTCCGTTTTACTCTGCCAATATGGATACCTGGCTCATGCTTTCCATGTCAGGTGTTTTTGGTTCTGCGCGAACATCTCGGAGACGAGAATCTGGATCTAGCTGGTGGCGTGCTATACGAGTTGATCGAAATTGACTGCCAATATTCTGATGACCCAGGTGCTGAGTTCCAACGTTGGAAACATGATCATCTCAATCGACATGTAAGTCAGTAGCACAAGTACACTGCGATACCCATTTACTAATCCCAACACCGCAGTCCAACCTTGAGTTGCCCCATATACCTCATATGAGTACGATCACCTCGTCCATACGGCCCACAGTCAGTCTTGTGCGGTGGCGCCAGCAGCATTCGAGTCGATATCCTATCAGACTTTCAGACTATTACCCATCGACCAGGGTGGGCTCGAACGAGCCAAGCTGCATACGCAGTCGCAAAGCTTGGATGATTGACCATACTATGTATGTTTCGACCCGCGAGGGTGGCACCTGTGCTTTTCGCAGTCCCAACCCTAAAGAACTGCATGAAATGCAATGGCAGCTTGGCACCGGGAGTGCTGGCAGGTTCATCAAAGAAGAAGAAGTTATCCCGACTACTTCGATTCACCAAGGAGCGGAGACGAGCAACTTGAACGACAATCCCGGTGACGATACTATTCCTGTGGACAGATCAGACCTCAGAAGATCCCTGTCTCTCCTCCGTGCGCTAAGAAAGAGAAGAGACCCTTCGATGTCTCGAGATGCCGGAGGACCGCCGCCTAGGAGCAAACGGATTAGTTGGTTCACAAATATGTTTGGACTGGAAACGGTTCTCTCCTTTCGAGAATCTCCTGATCCGAAGCCTGTACCGCTGCCTGAAGGCTGCGTGACACCGCATGCGATTTTTGCTAGGAAATTTTCCTTGATAGCCGACAATCAGCCTCTGCCGCCGTCGATGTCTCACGAGATGATGCCGACAGCGGATATCAAAGCCAGGAAATTGCTGGCGGATGCTGCCGTGCAGGGAGTGATGGGCTCTTCCTAGGAGTTTCGTGGCCCTTTCACACCTCAACTCGGCTTTGATGGTGGACTGGACCATCGACGAGTCTTTGTTGACCCTTCTGCTGCGTCATCCCGCGCAAACCGATTTCTATCCCACGAGACAGCTGCCGATTCTCGTAGGCAAAGTGACATCGGTCCCCCTAAGGAAGCCAGGACACCAAAGTCCCAACGCGGCCACGACTGGTTCGGACTGGATACCGCTACTCCAGAATCCGATACTCAAAGACAGAGTCCCCGTGCGAGAAGCGTTGGCGCCGAAAGATCACCAGACATGGCTCTCGGCGACTCTATGAGGCGCGACTGCAAATACCGTCCTCTCTCCAGCAGTAATTGGTTCGGTCTAGATGGTACTGTAGACGACGATGTCGGGACGAGCCCGCAAGACCGAGATCGCGCCCGTTGCAAGAGTGTGGTGCGCACACCATGCGGGGTCGCCGCTAAGAACGACGGATTACAAGCGCCAACAAATTTTCGTTCGAACTCACAGACCATCCGGTCTACTGCGCGTCACTCTGGAAAGTGGCAGGATTCACCCAGGTTCTCCCACGCCGGCGGAGAGCGTGGTGTTCCTGATCACCGATGGCTGGTAGCAGACATACCAAGGATACACCCTGTCAACATCGTCGAGATCAAGACCCACAAACTGCGGCTTGCTCCATCACTCGACCAACTTCGCGGCCCAACTCTTCCAGCCAAACTTGCGATTCTATCCAGGATCTATAGCCCTCCCGATGATGACGGAGGCCGGAAAATCGTCACGGAAGATATGCTTGGGAAAGCTCGAGAGCTGACCATCACAAAGCAACAACCCGTCCTTCGTGACGTCGGACGGGGGTCTCGCTCCAGCGGGATGGCCTCGAGCGATCGATCGGAGAAGCTTTCTCATTCCAGGACATCATCTAGGCCAAGTTTGTCTGAGGGCCAGGATCCTGTGAAATCTAGTAGGTGTTTTCTGCTGCTTATAGGCCAAGTTGAGATCTTCGGTACTAACAACCGTCGCTCAAGCGCGGCATCAACCGTCGCTCTCAGCCTTCTACGCCTATGTTCAGAGTGACGGTTTTCCCTCAGGGTCAAATGATGGCTCGCAAGAAGATGTAGCCGTTGTCCGGGGATCTCGGGCATCCTACAGCGACTATCAAACGGAAGAAATATGGGCAGCGCAGGGCAAGACGCGATCATCCTTGAGCCTAGAAAAGGTCGCTGTATCTGAACCATTGGCGGGTCGCGATAAACAGCCACTGGAGCATTCCCTTCTACGTAGGTATTCAGCGATGTGTCTCAGAAGATATAACTAATGCAACGTAGCTGGCGATGCGAGGAATCAGTCATCGTCTCGGATGGAGCACAAGTCGGAGCCGAGAACTGATGATGTCTCGCTATCGGAAGATTCTGATGCGTGGCGCTCCTTACTGATGCTTGAGGGTAGGCAGCCTGGTTGAATGAGCGGCATTTTGCTGCTGTCCCTACGCCCCTGTTGTCCTTGATCTTTCGTCGTTGGCCATCGTCGTCCCTCTCTATCCTGCAGGACCCTATTGTAGCTAATTTGTGTATTCCAATCGAATAGTCCAGCGCCCCGCCTTGGATCAGACCAGACATTCAGTTGACCTGGAAGCCATTTTCCCGCAAAGAGGTACGTAAACAAACACGCTTGCTTCACCTTCCGGGAGGTTGCCGCGCGAAATTCACTTCCACTTCACCCATTACCCATCTCTCCTCTTTTTCGATCTTTAGCAATGTGCTGAAGGCTGACTTTCTCCATCTCAGACCCTTCATCTTATCGCAGTCGCATCGAAGCTTGGATTTCGGAACTTCGGACGAGTCAATTCGAAGACCCTGAACTCGTCAGCCCATTTCCTCGGCTTGTCCTACAAAGATCTCGCTCTCTGCTACTGCCAACCGATCGACGTGCGGGACCCGACTTCTGCGAGGACTCATTTCGCTCAAGGGTTGGGAATCTCATCGAGTCCAAACGTCAACGTCAACGGAAATCTCACTCTGTGAGCTCTCGAATCTCTGGTCGGCGTCATACCCGAGAAACAACGTCAACGATATCGACTGATCTCCCCATCATGACACAGGACTCGGAGATGCCGGGCGTGAAAGCTCGAGTGGCGGTTCCCTCCGCAATCAAGGGTAGCTTCATGTCACTTTCGCCCAAGAAGCATCGATCACCGTCGCCTCAGAAATACAAGCCCAACAAGTCAGTGCAGATCAATCTGAATTTGACTGAAAACCAGATGGATAGATTGACCGACGTGTGAGTGTTCTCTGCTAGGAGATGTAGACTCGGATTCGTGATTGACGAGTGATCAGGTTCAACAGTACAAGCGAGTCGCCATCTCGCCGTGACCGAGTGGACAACTTCAGTCGACCTCGGTCGCCCGAGCGAGACATTGACTTCGCTGAATCCTTCACTGAACCCCAATCGTTGCCTCGGGGTCATGGAGATCCTTACCGTCAAAAATCTGCCAAAAACGCTAAAATCCAACAAAGACGTCTCGAGGAAGGCCATGAAAGCGACTCCACTACTTTCTCGGAGTTGATGCCAAGCTCACCTCCCAAGGGCCACAAGGCCAAGGGCTCTCTGGCATCGAGTCTCGCCGAGCGCCGCCAGCACCACACACCTAAACCCGTCCACGTTCAAGATAGTCGTCAGTATGGGGCTATTGTGGAGAATGCTGGCGGCATGCCCTCTGTCCGTCCGCCTATAACCCCTGATAACCCTTCTCCCGCGAAAACCGTCCAAGCAGATTCGTCCTCCATCTACTCTCAGAGTGAAGGCCATCCTAGCCTTCTCCACATCCACAGGGACGATATCCCGCGACACATTAAGCATGTGTTGGAGTCGTACAGCGGCTGGAAGGACTCAAAGGCCCCAGCGCTTGTTTCCGACGTGGGCGGCCGCGGAGGGAGCCCGCCCAAAGGTAGACTGGAAGCTCTCAAACAACCAGTCATGGACGCAAGTGATATATATTCTCCTCTTCGGCCTTACTTCGCCTATAAGGACCTTCCCGTCCAGAGAATTGCGGGTAAGACCCTGATTGGCGAGCAAGGATGGCTCGAGCGACCCAGCAACACTCCCGACCGCAAGAGAAAGGACGGGTCCCCAAAGAAGCCCGGACTCCTTGACTACCTCAAGAAGATTGCAAAGGGAATGGTAAGACGTCCCTGAGCTTCAGCATCCGTATTCTGAGTCATCATCTAACCCAGTGACAGACTGAGAGCAAGACTACTCGAAGGCCGAGGGATATGGAGAGGGAGGCGAAGGTCCAGAGAGTCACGATCTCTCTCGATCCCCGTGAGCAGAGTCTTCTTTACTGCGAGCTCGAGTTCCACATTAGCAATGCGCTGCATGCCTACATCACAAACGAGCTGAACCACGGCCGTCTGAACCCTGACAAACTCAAGAAAATTGCCGATGGATGGACGCAGAAGGGTCGCCCACGAGTCGTGGGATTTCGCTACGACCTGGAAACACAACTCGATCTTGTCCATCTACACATTGACGAGTTCCGGTTCTTTGGTCGCCGTCAAGGCAACCCGACGGAGATCGCCGGTCTGCTTCACGCGATGAAGACCAACGCACGATCTTTGCGCATTCGCACTTACTGCCAACCTGATTCCGTCATCGCCAAACAGCTTGTTGACTCGCAGTCTCTCTGCAACACCATCGGATGCTCAGAGACTCAGCAGATAGCCATCGCCGAGATAGCTCAGTTCTTCAAGGTCATTGTGGAGAGAGAGCAGGCTTACCGAGCCGAGCTGGATCGCGACAACTCCGCGCAAACGCTGCCGCATGGCCAGGGTGATCGTCAGTGGGTTCCATCCAGGGAACTGGTTGAAGGCGCGGATCCCTATGGTGGCCTTCACTTGATTCCGGACGGTTACGACGTTGGTAAGGAGACTCTTCGATACAACAACTAAGCCGCACAGCCTGTCTCTTCCGATGCTGCATAGAGACAACGACTGAAATGGTTTTGACAACGTTTATGACAGGTCACAGGTGCAGATAATGGGCAAAGGTTGCACGTATGGAGCAGAAGGGAGGTGGATGCACATGAGTTGGTCTTTGGGCTATGGGCGTCGCTCGGTGTCTGCCGTTTGAGCTCGATGTGCTTAAGTCCGTCATTGCCTTGCTTTTGCTGCGTGAGAGCATATGGGATACGCATTATGAACCTGCCACAGGGTTTGTGGCAACTGATGAGAATGAGGATATGTAGTATGAGCTTTGTAGACCAATAAGACAATTGTAGGAATAACTTTATTGAGGCATCAGTAAGGGAAGTGTTCAACATGATGTGATATATCTGGTCTTGCTTCATGGGGAAGATTTCTCGAGACAACCCCTCCACCAAGAAGCCCGAGGCGTAGGGTTCGATGACACAGGAAGCATCGGGACATCAACTCGTTATCAACTCAAAAGAAAGAAAGAACTTATTAGTCGTCAAGTCGTTAGATGATATTCATATACATTCAATAGCGGCGGCGAAGCTTGTCCCGACGATCTCAATTCCTGTGCGAATAGCGCTCTTCGCTCCGCAGTCTTCCACCACGGCGATCTTCATACCCATGGTCAGGATATCCATTATTCCACTCGTCACGATGCCGGTTGCGCAGGCGCCCTCTGCCATGATCCACGTCGTGGTCTCTTCCCCTCCCCCACTTCCTCTCCCAAGCCAGCTGCTGCTCTCTATCCCTTTCACGAGCAGCCTCGAAGCGTCTCTCAATGGCGTTAGCGCCGAGACCGCCCACGAGAGCCCCGACGACGGTGGATATAACCCGCGCTTTCTCTGCCTCACGGGGCGAGCGCGGGCGGTATGTGCCGTTTTCCATTTCCTTGCGAGTCCGTGATCGAAGTGTGGCGTCGGAGACTTCGCGTGCTGCCAGGCCGCCGACAACGGCGCCTAGAAGGCCTACGCCGATGCCCGAGGATGACTGGGTGAAGGTATGGTCGACAGCGTGGCGGGCTTTGCCGATGGGGCTTCGTGGGCGTGAACGTGAACGTGGTCTGCCTACTGCGTCTGCTTGAGGTGGGAGGGAGCGTGGGCGATAGTGGGAGTGGGGCGGGAGTTGTAAGGCGTTTGAGTCGCGGGGGGAGAGCGGTGACTCAGGAGGGTAGTATGGGTGGACTTGAGGAGGAGCGTCGACGGGGATGGCACCCGAGATGTAAGGGCCGCTGGCGATCGGGACGGGGCCTCGGTCCGGATATACTACCTGGATGGGACCGGCGCCGCCGCCGGAGTAATACTCGGGGGAGTACTCCCGCGCGACGGGAGGTGGGTCGTCGCGGCGATGGTGGCTTGGGCTGCGGGGGCGATCCTCCCGGATCTCGTGCTCGTAGTACCTAGACATGACTACCTATGCCGAGTGGCGTGCAAGACTCTACACTGTTGGAGTGATGTCGGCGTAGTTCCGATGGAATGAGGGAAGTTTCCGAAGCCAGTCTGGAGGTCCAATGAACTCAGCGAGACAGAATCTGCGCGAGGCTGGGCGGAGAAGACGGAAAGTTGAGTTCTGGTTGGAAAAGACTTAGGAAGTGGTGACAGGGGATCTTTATGCGGTTGGTAGTAAGAAGTCTGCTGCAATCGCAAGTCGACGCGGAGTGTAGAGTCGTACAAAGCACACAGCAGCGACCGTAGATGTAAGGGCTCGTTTCCTACGTGGCGATGCCGAGAAAAAGGATTTCGAATTTGAGCGAGGAAAAATATCTGAGCTTAGCTCCGAGCAAATAAATCTTCAGGTTGTGTAAGCTCAGTCTGATGACTAGGTCAAAGAGTCCCGGAACTTAGAAGAGGGCCACGGGATTAAGGTAGAGAAGGTCGAGGTCACAGCGTTCGAGTGAGGGAGGCACAGTACAGGTGTGCGTTTGTAACACGGCAGATGGTCTGCTGTACCGCCGGCACACTCGAAAGGCGGTTGGGGATAGGAGTACCTTATCTACCTCGCTGACCAACATAGCTCTCTAGGACGCATGCAAGATGGAGATCCTCGACTCTTTTCAGATTGCTTTCTATGAGAAACGGGCGGGGTACACACCTCGTTTCTCTTGTAGAGTACCGTTCAGGAGAAGGTAACGCGGTCCGATGTCGTTCCCTTACTTTTTTCGGTATGTGTCAAGTTGCAGGGTTTCTACACGTATATTCAAGAGGTGGGTGGTGCGATGATGTCACGCATAACGAATGAGTAGGAAGGGACAAGGACATGATACTCGGTGAGAAATTCCCAAGTTCAAGCAAGCATGGAATTCGCCCGAGCATGTGCTACCAGCGTACCTAGGGCAATTAATTGTGCAAAATACACGCAGCGTTGCTGACGTGGGATTATTTAGGAAGCCTTAGCATGTAGTTGGCTTCACTATCCTACTGCAAGTCTCAACTGGCACGAATACCAAGGCAAGGTCGTGCAAGATGCAGAGTTGCGGAACTCTTCTCAAACTGCCATGCTGAGCCTCATCCACCATCACTCCACTCACTACATCGGCGTAATCTTGCTTCTCCACAACCCGAACAAACGGCTGTGGTAAGTTGAGTTCCATCTGCTGGGTTGGTGCTGGGTGTGAGATGATACAGTCTCAGGAAGGGAAATGGCGATAACAGGAAGAAGAACGGCGACGTGGAATTGGACAGCTTACCGAAGATGGCCCCGCCACTCTTGCTCATTTAGGTGGCGTGACCATGCAACGCTGCTGCCATTGGTCATCCTAATGCGTGGCCGTTCCCTCCCAAGCTTCACATCGGCAAGAAATCAGCAGGCTTTCCACGAGGCACTCATAGCGGAACTCACCGATTGCGCGGGCGTGTCAAATGCAGCGAACCTTCGATGGCGAACTCAAAGGCAGCCTGAGCTGACGTCCCCCTTTTTCCCAACAAGGATACCTCGGCGAACGAATCCGAAGCCAGCCCTCACAAACCCGCGAGAATCGGCTCGCCGGCGGGAAACAGCCCCGCACACCGGGCCGGCCCCACAGCGGGTACCCTCTCCGGCCATCACAGAGGTGCTATCGTCTATCCGTAATAAGGTGGATTCATTCCAAAACTACTCACCGCCGTCCGCCTTAGACATACTCGCACAAGCTCACCACCGATTCGTGATCGCCGGCCTCCCACCCGGTTGTTCGTACCGCTCTGGCTAAACATCGGCTGCATGTAGCTCCACGGTTCATAGTAGAGGCCCACCATCTCCATTCAAGAAGGTCGTCTATTCTATACTTCCACGCACTTCATTGGATGACCTCACGCCCCATCCCAAATAGGCCATGGAGGCTCCTCTCAAGCGACTAACTCGTTCCTCCTTCTACACCAGAATTTCCGGGCTTTTGCCGGCCGTTGCGACTTCCTGGCTCCACGATCGTCTTAAAGAGTCGTGATGCTCCACGCATCTCGTACTACTTTCTGGAAATCTACCTTAATCATAATTCTAATATCTCAGAGATCGATGTTCTTCGGTATTTCCCAAGACAACATTTTGTCTATACACTAGCGTTGCGGCATCTCGTCAAACCAGTCAGTACCCACGATGGACGAGAAAGTCGCCCCAGTTCCCGTGTTAGACGGGGCAGAGGACACAAAAGCACCCTCCATTGTCGCTTTTGAGGAAACCAGAGAGCGTTGGAACGGAACCCGCATCAACACTTACCGCTTCTTCGTAACCTGTGGGAGCTTCATCATAATGGGCATGAACGACGCCGCTGTCGGTGTAAGTCTAAGAGTCTGCCATACTCAAATCTATCAGATGCTTACAACTGTCTGTCTACAGGCCCTGATTCCTTATGTAAGTTAACAAGATCCTTCGACTCCCACTGAGTAACATGAGTCTGATGTTGGGGTTCAGATCGAAACGTACTACGACATCACGTACACCGTCGTCGCCCTGCTCTTCCTTTCGCCGTTCATTGGCTACCTGGTGGCAGCCTTGTCCAACAACCTCATACATCACAAGCTCGGTCAGCGAGGCGTCGCAGTGCTCGGCCCCATCAGCCGCATGATCGGTTACATTCCCCTCGTCGCCCATCCGCCTTACCCCGTCCTCCCCGTTGTCCTGCTATTCGCCGGCTTCGGTAACGGCCTCGAAGACAGCGCCTGGAACGCCTGGGTAGGCAACATGCAGAACGCCAACGAGCTGCTCGGATTTCTTCACGGCGCATATGGCCTCGGCGCGACCATCGGGCCCCTAGTCGCCTCGGCCATGGTGACCAAGGGCAAGCTGCCGTGGTACTCCTTTTACTACGTCATGATTGGCGTTACCGCGGTGAACTTCGTGGCCGCTATCACGGCGTTCTGGGGCGCAACGGGCAAAATACACAGGGAGACCCACCAGTCTTCGACGGGGGAGAAGAGAACGACGACTTTGACCGTGGTGCGTCAACCACTCACTTGGCTTCTGGCCTTGTTTCTGTTGGGCTATGTTGGAGCAGAAGTCAGCCTGGGCGGGTGGGTTGTCACATTTATGCTCCGCGTGAGGCATGCTGAGCCCTTTCTGGCCGGCGTCACCGTGGTGCTGTTCTGGTAATTACGTTCCTCTCCAAGCTTGTTCCACTATAGGATCCCTACTAACCACGTCTTCCATAAGGCTGGGACTGACGATAGGTCGAGTCATTTTGGGCTTCATAACAGGGCGCATAGGAGAGAAGCGCGCAATCGCAATCTATCTCCTCATCTCGTTAGCTCTTCAACTGCTCTACTGGCTTGTTCCCAACTTCATCGCCTCCGTCATCTTCATCACGTTCCTCGGCTTCTTCCTCGGCCCCTTGTTCCCCGCCGTGATCGTCACCGCGACTAAATTGCTCCCCAGCGACTACCATGTGGGCGTGATTGGATTTGCCGCTGCCTTTGGCGGCGGTGGTGCAGCAATCTTTCCGTTCGCAATCGGGGCTATTGCCCAGAGCAAAGGCGTTCAGGTGCTACAGCCCATCATATTGGCTCTTCTCGTATTTCTCTTCCTCTTGTGGCTATGCGTTCCCGGGGGATTTAAGAGGGGTGGGCTCGAGAGGGCAAGAGAGAATAAGGAGGGTCTTGGTAGTGATGCCAAAAGTCTATTTTCGTCGATGAAGCAACAGCTACAGGGTGGAAGCTAATCGTCTATTGAATGAACATATACCTCTGCTATGAACTCCGATGTTTCGATGCAGATTACCCATGACCGACGAACTACTACCGGATGCAGTAGCTCGTAGTACCCCATCAGCCAGCCATCCGCAACATTGCCTTTACAAAATGAAGAGCTCGTTCTCAACGCAGTTGAAGTACAGAACCGCGGGTTATGGGTGATGTTAAAGAGAGGCGTGATGCGACCGCATACTATTCGACGGGGCTCTTCTCGCTCTCCGAAAACTCAACCGTCTCCTTGTACTGGACTGATTCGGGTCGTGGGGCTATTTGTCCCGTGCCGTGCTGAGGAAGAAGACTTGGATCGAAGCGGAAGCTGTAGCTCCCCGGAGTCCAGAATGTGCCCATGGCGTAGCATGTTGCGCCACCTCCTACGATGGCGAGATTTCCATTTTCATAGTGCACGACGGAAGACCCCATTAGAAAGGGGCGCATCACGCCGGAACTACCTGTGCCATCAAGTCTGGCTACCACACTTACGTCTGTTTCTGTTGTTTTGAGAATAAGGATGTCGTATGCTGATGGGAGCTGGACCCCTTTAACCACTCCGCCGAGCAATAGCGTGTAATTAGAAGACTGGATAGCAATAGAGCCGAGCCGGGCCAGAGAGCCGGGCAAGCCCCCATCTTTTGGAGTTCGAAGCTGGAATGACAGTACAGGCTACAGATGGGCGTTAGCGAGTGCAAAGCATAAAATCTGAAGAGTCGAATTGGTACATACCTCGGGCTCGGAAACGTCCAATCTCCAGGTATAAAGTCCCTGGTTGATAACGCTATCCTCAAGGCTGCCCCCGGATAGAAAACCAGTGAAAGCTCGAGATCCAACTTCGCCTACACATGTGAATGTAGCACTGTACAGTGCAGGTGGCGCAGACTGTACGTGGCACATTCTCCAACCCTCTGTAGGATCAAACAGGAAGTACTCGGCTGATGTTTCAATGTGATTCTTCCTACCGCCAGCAAGGAGGGCAAGAGGCGAAGAGCCAAGTCGGGTCACGGAGTGCCTGAAAAGGGGGACAGGGAGATTCTTTGTCGGTTTCCAGGCAGAAAGACTTTTGTTGAATAGCCAGCAGTCTCTAAACGCCGTTGATGGGGACGCGCGACCACCCGCGAGAAGAATACCAGCACTGCCCAGATCCGTAAGGCTGTGGCATACTCTGGTAGATGGCATCTTGACGGACGTGTTGGAAGACACTGTCTGACTGGATATTTGGTACAGGTCTTCGGAGTTCATCCGTCCAACGGGACCCTGTCCGAAGTTGTGGGAGATGAATCCACCGCTGTTGGACTCTCCAACGAGCATTGCGGCGCCGAGCCGGCGGTGCCCACAAGCAGACTCATAGGGGCTCATGGTCATCGAACATTGGAAGGATGGAATTTCGACTTCTCCATAGACCTTGGATACATGGCCCTGAACTTCAGACCTTGGAGTTGAGGCAAGGATGACGAAGTAATGGCTGGCGAAGAGAGCAAACTCTTCCAGCTCGTCGAAGGACTCAACCGAGTCGAGGGCTCGTCTCTCTTCAGAAGTCATGAACAGATCGTCAGACCAAGCCTCCCAGAGTGTCCAACTCTCAGCTGATGGCCAGCCAAGAGACTGGAATCGCTTCTCCTGACTGGCCACGGTGGGATAGCGATGGACCGACTTGAGTGGGGCGTTCATCTTGTTGAAGTGCCCAAGCATCGTGTGAGCAAAAGGATGATCGGGCCCATCTGGCAGGATTTGTTCCAGTAGACAGAACTCAGCTACGTGTTTGGTCAGAGTGTGTCAGAAAGTCCGAGGTAATGAACGTACCGTTTCCAACAGTGGCTGCCCACTCAATGACTCCATTCGCACCTTTCGTGTCCATGTACGTAATAGAGACTTCGGCCACGAACAAGAAATCGGTGTTTGGCACGTCAAAGAGCGCGTCAAGACAACTCTGCAGAACCGAGAGCTGCTGGAGGTTGCATCCCACTTGACAGTACCTCTGGCTTTTGAGCACGATTGGGGAATCGTCATTTACCTCCCAAGCCCCCATCAGACCTTGCAGCTCGGGGGTCTCGAGTACTATCTGCCGCTTCTTCTGGATAAGATCTGGGTAGTCGACATCAAGGAAAGTCACATCGCGACATGAATCGGGATAGCGCACTTGGCACTGCCACGGCAGAACGTCGCTGTCGCGAAGCGTTAATCATGCAACAGCCCCATAAACACGAAAAGCAACAGGGCGGAACTCACCTCCCGCAGCCAAGATTCACGATGACTTTCTTTCGGGTCGATGGCTTTTCGAGGAACCGGCGAACTAGAGTGTCGATGACTTTGAGTCTCAGATGATAGCCTCTGTTGACGAGGGGTGCCCTTCTCCGGAACTTTTTCACAAAGAATTGAAAGTAATGAGGCTCGTCAGGATAGTAGAGATGTTCCTTGGATGACATTTAGGCTTGCTGTCTCAACCAAGCTAGCAATAGTAAGACTTACGACACTGCGTTTTGAGACTATAGAACTATTATTCGTCTAGGAGACAGGGGGTGTGAGTGACATTGAATGGAAAGATGGATGTTGGAGACGGACTCACGGCCATGATCAAGTCGTCCGAAGCCCGACTTTTTTGAACATTCTGAGTTGAGGAGGCCATCTTGAACAGATCACGACAAAAGCTTGCGCCCGGTCCAAGGTACTTCGTGTTGTGGATTACAGCAATCATGAGAGTCTTGGTTTTTAGCGCCGCCAAATTTTTTACTCAGAATGAAATTTACAAAAAAGTTCCTCCTCAGTGAAAGGCGCCAAACAACGGGGCTCCGAGCTTCTAAACCCCCATTGCGGGATAAAGGCGGTTGGATCACATTCCGTGACACAAAATTCCAGAACATCATCAAGAGCTGTGGAATACGGCAAGAAATGCTTATTCAATGGGGAAATTTTTTTCACGATTACAGCTAGAGAATGTAGCATAATCCGCGCAGACTTGGTGATTCCACCTCATTGTTTCCTGTCTGTGCCCCTCACCTTGATGTTTGTTCGTATGGGAACTGGGAGTCTTATCTTATCAGCACTGTTCCCCGGAACAGTACGTATTGAGGTACTTCGAATTCCACATGCCGGCCCAATCGGTCACCTGTCGCGAGTTTCCAAGCCAGCTGCCCCGAGCTTGAGCCACACGTGCCACGAACACACCCAGCCATTTCGGCTGCACGCGGACAGTGAGCTCCCCTGCGGCCCTGTGTGCTTGCCTCGCTGA